TCGTATTTGAAACTTCATAAAATTTACCCTTCTTCCTGCGAATTTCGAGGTTAATACCTCATGGTTGCCGATTGTACACCTATCACAGAAGTTTAGTCCTGCAGGTGCAGCAGCAATTAGGAAGGCAACCGGTATGTTAGCATTCATTATGAAAGGATTAGAGTATAAGAGTAGGGAAGTCTTACTGCAACTGTATAGGGCCCTGTGAGACCACACCTGGAATACTGTGTCCAGTTTTGGTCTCCTCATTTAAGGAAGGATGTACCTGCCTGGAGGGGGTGCAGTGTAGATTTACTCGGTTAGTACCAGGGATGAAGGGGATGAGTTACGAGGATAGGCTGACCAATTTGGGCTTATATCTCTAGAATATAGAAGAAATAGACGGATCTTATAGAAACCTATAAGATCATCAAAGGGCAGATAGAGTAGATAGTGGGAGATTGTTTCCCCCGGTTGGAGAAACTAAAACCAGGGGTCACAACCTTAAAATCAGAGGCAGCCCTTTCGCACTGAGTTGAGGAAGAACTTCTTCACTCAAAGGGCGGTGAATGTATGGAACTCCCTACCCCAAAGGGCTGTTGACACTCAGTCCTTGAACATATTCAAGACTGAGATAGATTTCTTATTGCAAAAGGGATTAAGGGATATGGGGATAAGGCAGCGTCAGGTTATTAGCTGGAGTTAGATTAGAAGATCAGCCATGATTGAATGGCGGGGCAGGCTCGAATGGCTGAATGGCCTACTCCTGCTCCTACATGTTATGTTATGTTGCTAAATTATAACACTCATTGAATTCCCTACACAAAACTTCAATTAGTGTATTATCAACAAACTCTCTCCCTTGAAGCCATGCTGACTTACTTTTATAGTTAATTGAGATTCACACTATTCTGGAACGATAGGAATAAAACAGGATGGTTGAGGCACCTTCCCAGTGACTTAGACATTCCTCATCTTCAGGAATGCAGCGGCTAAAGATTTGGCCTCCGATAATGGAGACCAGTAACATGAAGCTCAGGATAACCATTACCTCCTCAGTAATGAACTCAATGTCTGCTTTGAACCTGCGGCCACTGTAGGTTTCCACATTTATGATGGATGATGTACACGCAGTGCATGATGACGTAGGCAGTAATCCGTGTTTGTGCAAAACAGCATTTATCAGCGAACTCTTTCCATCTCCTGTTTTTCCAAATACACCAATGTAGATCTTGTCCAGCAGGGTTTTGCTTTTTAATATGGAAGCCTTTTCTCTGAAACAAAAACCACAGATTGCTCTTCCCAACTCTGAACCTCTTGTCCTGCTTCCTTAGACTATTGGGGAGGAGCACTGCATTATTGGAGGTGCTATTCCTGAGACATTGAACCGAGGCGCATCTGTCTGTTCAGGGAGACGTTAAAGATCCCACGGCACCATTCTAAACGAAAAGGTAGTCTCTCTCTCCCTCTATCCTGGCTGACCACCGCCCAGATAAAATTGATCACTCACTTCATGGCTGGTTGTGCAATCTGATGTGGTACAAATTGGCTGGTATGTTCACCCACAAAATACACTTAATAGACTCTACCATAAATAGTTTTACTTTACTACAAACAACTTACATTTTTCACCCCAATTAATAGCTACAAAGGGCTAAGTATATTTAATCAACTATTCTGTAATACGTTTCTGTAGTATATTTATGATTGGTAAACAAAAATTAATGATAAGTTATCATAATCAATTATATAAAATAGGAGGCGGTAAAACGTAGCATCAGAGTTTTATTGGTGGATTCTGTAGATCACATTTTGGGTCTGATTGCAAGTGCCAGAAGGTGCATTTCCTCTCAAGGGATATTACGGAGTGCACTGAAAACCTGCGGTGTGGAAAAACAGCCACAAACAATCATACACATGGTACCAAGAACATAGGCGGGAATAGCAGAAGGATTCTGAAACACGATTTAAGGATATTTGGGGGAAGATTCAAGAGAAGGATCTCCAGTTCTAATCTCTGGATTCTTCTCAGTGCACATACTGGGAATGTCGGGAGAGGCAGATCAGGGAAACTAATACGTGGCTGATAAAATGGTACACACAGAGAGGTTTATATTCGTACCACATTGGGACAAGTTTTCATCGTAAAAACCCTTGACAGACAGAATGCAAACCAATGCATATCCAGAAATCTAAATAGCGCAGTGGTGGGGGGAAACATTTATAAAGAATGTACAGCACGGAAACAGGCCATTCAGCCCAACCAGTTCAATCCTACTCCTAATGAAACAATATATTTTGAATATACAAAAATTCAGAATAGTCAGAATCCTTCATTGTATGCTGTCTATCAGGAGGCTATCCGAAAACTCTTCACAGAATTTACTGTAAAGTGCAGTGACTGTGTACTCCTAGGCAGATGTTGTAGACCAATTGTACACAGCAATGTCCAACAAGCAGCCATGAAGCAAATGGATAATTTTATTTGGGAGATTATTGGTCAGGGCACTGAGAGAAACTGCCTTCTCTTTTCAAGTAGCCCCATGGGATCGTCAGGGAGAGTGGTGGGCAGAGAGGGTAGGAGAGTGGCCGAAGGTACGGTTGAAGAGGAGGGTCTTGAGGCATGCCTTCAGGTAAGCAAGGCAGGCAGCGAGGCAAAGGGAATGTGGGATGGAGTTCTAAAGGGTGGGGGCAGAGAGGCTGAGGGTGTGACCGCCAATTGTGGGGTGGGCCAGGTGGGGCACATGGAGCAGGCCGAAGCCTGCTGAGTGGAGGTAGCAGACAGGTTGATAAGGGGTTAGTAGATCGGAGACTTAGGAAGAGGCAAGGCCATGGATGTCCTTGAAGGTGAGGACAAGAATTTTGAACTTGATCCTCTGAGGAATGGAGAGCCAGTGGAGCCAGGCAAGGGTGGTGTGATGGGGTCATGGAGCCTGGTGCGGAAGAGGACATGAGCTGCAGAGTTCTGGATAATCTACATGTACATGGGATGTATATATGTATATAACTCCATGTCTGCGGATTGATGTCACCAAGAGGGAGAATATACAAGTTGAAGAGGAGAGGACCAACGACAAAGCCCTGAGGAACACTGCGTGATACAGTGCGGGGGCTGGAGGAGAAGCCGTTTGTAGAGACAAAGTGGAGCTGGTGTGAGAGATAGGATCTGAGTAGGGCATGAACCCATACAACTTTCTCTCTCAGAGGTGAGAGTGCTATTAATTAAGCCAGGCTGAGACACACTTGGGATAAGGATTCAAAAGGAAACTTTACTACAAAAGTTGGGAAAACTAGAAAAATAGATTTTTTGGGGGGGCAGAGGTCAGGCAGGCGTCTGACACATGGAGTACTACGAACCCACCCACCTGGCTCAGGAACTGGACTACTGGTTCCGCAATAGAGGGTTGGCCTGATTCTGATATACCGTTGCCAGACATGTCACCTTGGAGCCAGTTCAGCTCCAAGGAGGCCCTGCTTACGTCCACCCCAAGGAAGATAGTCACCAGTTGGTTGTTCAACATCCGACAAGTGTTGGTTAGGGGCCTCACTAGGTGGATGGTAGGTAACAGGAAATCTCTGCGGGCTTTCCAGTGGGCAACATAGCTCAGCATGAAATGCATGAGAGCATTGCCACCATTTTACTGATGGTTCCACCAGTTGGAGTTGGGGAGTTTAAGCAGCATCTGCGTGCCTCTCTGCAGGCTAATCAAGGTGGGTTTCAAGAGTTGGATGTTCGGATGTGTGCTCACAAACTTGGATTCCAGGTAGCACCTTCCAGCAGCTGTCGCCACAAGCCTCAGAGTTTCCCCATCGACTATCTGGGGGACAACTGCCTTCAGCATGGTGGGAGGACACAAAATTGACAATCACAGGGATGGAATCCATCCCAGTATGTTGAGGACAACCAGGGAAGAGATAGAAGAAGCTCCATCTGTGATTTTGCATTGGGCAGCTACTCAGAAACAAGGAGAGAGGGGAGTTTTGATGACTACGGACTTTCCTTTATTCCTTATACTGTACGTACTTCAGGGTGATGAGCAGCTCCTTCTCCTCAGGGTCAGTGCACCCAACATTTTCGAGTTTCATGTGCACCTTGTTGATAAGATCCCTTGTTTCTTTCTCCAAATCTTTACCTGATAAAGGAATGAAATGAAGTTGAATTAATGGCAATAAACAAAAAGAAAGTTTTCCAACAATTCATTGAAAGTTTTATAGTTATTGAGTCATTACCGAGACATTCCAGCTCTCCTATTTCAATTCACAGTTCTAATATTATAGACATTTATTTTTATTTTGTGTCAAGAAAAGGAATAATGTATTTTGGGCACAATGCTTACAGCTTATGCTGTAGCAGGACAATACCATGGTAGGTGGCTCTACTGGGGATACTGTCCTTTTGATTAATTCACAGCCCAGCACTGCCAATGTATTCTGTTGCTAATGATAATAATCCTTGCATTTAATACAACACCTTTGTTGAGACGTCTCAAAGCGCTTCACAGAAGTGAATTGACTGTATATTATGTTAGCAAAACACGGCAGCCAATTGCGTACATCGTTGTCCCACACACAGTCACTGATAGAGTGACCAAATATATATTTTTTTGAAGGGATTACTATACCAGGAAAAGTAATCCGCCAATTGATTAACAATCGGTTTCCCACTTACTCATAGGTAAACAGAGGTGCGTGGAATAAGGAAACTAGCTCAACCCTCTCACTTGCTTGTGCATTGATCCCACACTCTGCTAGTAGTAAAGCTTATTTCCAACTGTGTCCAACTGTATTTCCAACATTATGGGACGCAGACGTCTGTAGAATTCCTGGTGGAAGAGTTGTGTGCCTGAGCATGGCAGAAGAATAGTGCCAATGCTCTCAAGCAATTGAGACTGAGCTGCGCTGCTAATCAGGAGATCAGAGGGAATTCTTCATTCTTACAAACTACCCAGTGAGAGCTTAAAACTATGCTTGAAAGATATTAACTGACAAAGTAGTTACAGTCCTCCAGTTGGGGGGTAAGGAGGATCTTGTAGAAGCGGAGCTGGTTCCTTGGTTTGGCAAGGGAATGTCGTGAACAAATCAACTGTCGATGGCGGTTTCAGTTATCTAGTTTCCAAGCCAGGTGGGCCTACATAGTCAAGGGCAATTTTGATGACACTACAGCCAGCGTGGCTCATTGGCAGGACTTGGAAAGCTAGAGAGTCATTGGGATCAGGAATTCTTCCCTTCAGCTCCTGTTAACCATGAAGCCAATGCCCGAATGGGTAGATTGGCCTTTGCTAAACAAGCAGCGAGAAACTTGCCAGACAGTGCTTTCAATGACAAACTAGGCAGTTTCAGTACCCTACATTCTTGGGGCCCCATACTTTGCTCTTGCTAAGCTGCACTTAAACTCATCAGAATTAGGTCAGCAGGGTGCTTCCCTGCAGGTAGAGTGTATACTCCACTCCAAAGATAAGGACATTTTCATGGTTAGGTGATATACATATGTGACACTCTCAGTCTGGTTTGAATACTTTCAATACTCTTAAGCATTGTAACTGGTATCCATATGTCTCAGATACCCATCTGATTTTGAAACCCTAAGAACTCTCTTGATGAACATATTCCTTTCAATCTCTTCCCTAATTGTTCTGCTAACAATCATGAGACTGTGCCCCTTGTCACTGATTCCCTAACTAAAGGAAATAGTTTTTCCTTATCTACCCTGTCATGCCCTTCACCATCTTAAACACCTCATCATATCAACAATTGATTACAATGAGCCATCAACAAAACTATTGTCTCTATATTTGGTTCCAAAAGTTGCTCTTACATAGCTGCAGCACTTCCTTATTTTCCTCCGACATCTGAGCCCCAGCGCTTTGTCTCTTACGCTTCTTCTGTGGAGATACTTTGCTTGTCGTGGCACATCCTTTCGTCTTGGAAGGTGTATCAGAACTGAATTTTGTTGTTGTTGTTGTTGTTACTGTTGTCCTTTTCCTTGTCACACCTTGGAACAGTTCACAGAATCATAGAATGTTATAGCATAGAAACAAATCAATCGGTTCAGCAAACCTGCACTGAGATATTCCATGTGAGCCACCAGTCTTATCTCTAGTCAGATACCCCTAGTGAATCCTTCCCTTTCTCCAAGGTATATTATGCTCCCCTTTCAAAACCGCCATCATCACTGCACATCTCAAAAAACACTATTTTTTCAAAATTATAATTCCCATTTGCAAAATCACTATGCTACAGGACTTAAAGAGCAAATTGGCTACTGAGGCAATCGATAAGCTGAAACTAAACAGTAAAATCGTGATGGATTTTGTTTCAACAGCTGAAAATTTGACATGCCAACCACTCTATGTGCAACCTCATCTTCAAAACAAAGAATTGTAAAATGTACCAAGGGGATAACGGAAAAAAAGCTAAGGTTGTTAGTTGACTCATCTCTCACCGTGTCAAAAAAATGTGAGGCAGCAATAAACAAGACAAACAGGATTCCGAGCTCTTTTGTCAAACTGGTTAAATTCAGACACTCGGATATCATAACCAACCTATATAGTACTCAAGGAACATTGGAACAGGAGAAGGCCATTTAGCCCCATGAGCCTGTTCCGCCATTCCATTAGATCAGGCTGATGCCCCGAAGCTCTGGCACTATCTCCCTCTCTCCCTCCCCACTTTTCAAATCCTGCCTACAGTAAAATCCTGCTTTTTGATCGTCTAGGTAAATATTAACTGGCTAACTGGTAGCTCAGAATCCAGTTTGCCTTGTTTATTTCTGCTTCTCAAGTTTTGACATGGTGAGTCAACTAACACCCTTAGATCTCTTTCAGTTTCAAATGTGGTTACGGTCCAAAGACTTGTACAAGTTCAACATTACCATCTTGTTTTTCGTGTTCAATGCTTCTCTATATGAAGCGACTAAGTCATAGTGTGAATATAATAGCTTGAGGTGTACCTGTGTGGATTATGTCATCATCTGAGTTGTCCACTTCCATTGTGCCAAACCTATCTGAAAGGAAAAAATTATCTTATTCGTATATAATAATCCAATCAGAGACTAAATCCTTAATAATCCTTGCGTTTTGATATAGCGCTTTTCACATCGGGAGGACGTCCCAAAGCGCTTCACAGAATATACTGTAAAGTGAATTGACTATATATTTGTGGGCGAACGCGGCAGCCAATTGCGCACAGCAATGTCCCACAAACAGTCATGGATTGAAAATGACCAATTTATTATTGTTTTTGTTTTTGGAGGGATTATTATTAGGCTCTGTGTGGAGTAAGGAAACTTGCCCAAGGTTTCGCCCTCTGCCTGGAATTGAACTCAGGTCTCTCACTTGCAAAGCGAGTGCTCTAACCACTGAGCTACAGGACTCCACAAATCCTGTAGCTAAAGTAAGCTAGAGATGTTGGACATGTCTATGAAGAGGAAAGGGAAAACTAAGTAGCAGCTTGAGTGGAGAAGCCTTAAGCAACGGAGACAGGTAGTGAAGAAAAGGTAACAGAGGCAAAGAAGGATAATATAGTAAAATCCTGTTTTGGTATGCTTGGCAACGAAATATTGGAATCAAGCCAGCCCTCTGTGGCGATCTCGGTAGTGTGTTTCCTGAACCGCCGAGTCCACAGTATTCCAGGACACTGCTGATGCCAGCCTAGTTCATCGGCAGAACATGGAAGAGCAGACTAGTCAATGAGGGCTGGGATTCATCCCACTCAGCTCCTGTTAACTCTACAAGCCAAAGCCCTAATGGGGCGGTTGGTCCTCCCTGGACAAGCAGTGGGAAAGGTTGCCAGACAACAATATCAATGGCAAGATAGGCAGTTTTAGTTGGATAGACTCCAGCAGTTACCCCAGTGCACACTCTGGGGTCCCCAAACCTTTGCCAACCTGCGCTTAATACTTTCCAGAATTAGGTAAGGCAGGATGAGTCCCTCCAGGGAGAGAGTGCACATTCCATTCCAACAATCTATCTCTGGGATCTCCATGTGTAGGTGGGATGTATGGAAATCTCAGCTCGGTTTGGATACTCTAAAGCACAGTGATGGGCCGGGCCAACAGTAAAGTGCAGCCACACTTCTGAAGGTGAAGCTGATTGGCACAGGGAGTGTTGGGTCCACGGAAGTGGTGTGAGCAGGAAATTGGCTTTGCCCGCAAGTGAGAGAACCACGATAGAAATACCAGCTGCACGACACTACTCTCGTCTATCCACGCAATGCTCAGCCTAAAGTGAACTCCTGCGTCAAATTTGTGGTAAGTGCTGTACCATACAAATTAAAATGTTTAGTATTTTAAACATAACTACATGTTCAGGAAATATACGCCTATAGTTTTAATCCGGGTTGTTTCACAAAATGCGTCTCTCAATAACACCAATGAACCCTCCACAATTTTCCAAAAAGTTATCAAATTTCTCCATAGTTTTCCGTAAAATTTGTCAAATGCCCCTCGATATTTGACAAATATTCCTGCAATTTTCTATTGGCCCAGGTTATGGTTTCCACATGTGTCAGGCATCCAGCTCACAAAAAAAAGTCTTTTGTCAGCAATTCCCCAACTAGAGAAAGATTCCTGATCTAACATCTCATGCACCTTTAGGCACCTTGTTTATATCCCCTCTTAGTCTTCAGTATTCTCGTGCAAAACGGTCACATTTTGCCAGCATTTTTAATATGTATCAAGAATCCTAAAAATTAAAGACAAAAAGCACAGCACCCAACGGAGACGAAAACATTCACTTTTACTGATGTTGTGAACTCGATCCAAAGCCTTGTAGCTGATTGCTAAACGTTAACAAAAATCAAATCTCCTCAGCAAGTATACCCCGGGAAAGTAAAATTAATATCAACACCTCAACAACAATAGCAACAACAAAATTACATTTATAGAGCGCCTTTCACATCGGGAGACGTCCCAAAGCGCTGAACAGTCAGGTGTCGGGGTCCAAGCATGGGGGAGGGTTGGTGGAGGGGTGAGGGAAGGCAGAGAGGGTGACCAAAGTCACGGTCGAAGAGAAGGGTCTTGAGACCGACCTTGAAGGAGGCTAGAGAGGAAGCAAGGCGAAGGGACGGTGGGATGGGCAGGTCAGGCGGGAGCCATGGAGCAGACCGGAGCCCGCTGAACGGAGGGAGCGGACAGGTTGGTAGGGAGTAAGCAGGTCAGAGAGGTAGGAGGGGGCAAAGCCATGGATGGCCTTGAACGTGAGGACGAGGATCTTGAGTTCAATCCTCTGGTGGATGGGTAGCCAGTGGAGTCGGTCGAGGGTGGGAGTGATGGGGTCACAAAACCTGGTGCGTGAGAGTACACGAGCTGCAGAGTTTAGGATGATCTGCAGCTTGTGAAGGGAAGAGTTAGGAAGGTCGATGAGGAGGGAGTTTCCGTCATTGCGCGTTGATGTGACGAATGCATGGATAAGGTTTCGGTAGCCTGAGGGGTGAGGCAGTGACGGAGTCTGCCAATGTTGTGTAGGTGGTGGTAGGCAGTGCCGGTCATGGTGCGGATATGGGGGAGAAAGGGCAGTTCAGGGTCAAACAAAACACCCAGGTTCCTGACTGGCTTAGTGAGGTTGAATGTGCGGCCGTGGAGGTTAATGCTGCCAGCGCCCGAGGTGCAGAGGCGCTGGCATGAGCCAATCAGAAGGGTCTCGATCTTGCTGACATTCAGCTGGAGAAAGTTGACCCTCGTCCAGGACTTGATGTCGGACAGGCAGTCGGTCAGGACACCAGTGGTCCTGGAGTTGAGGGTGGAGGTAGAGAGATAGAGAGCAGAGAGAAATTTATCCCATGTCTGCGAATGATGTCACCAAGTGGGAGCATGTAGAGGGTGAAGAGGAGGGGACCCAGGACAGAACCCTGAGGAACACCGGCGTTTGCCTGGACAAAGTGGAGGTGGAGTGAAACTGGGGACCTGAACCAATCAAGGACAGAACCTTGAAGGTTGAGGTTTGAGGAGAGGCGGTGGAGGAGAATTGAATGGTCCACAGTGTCAAAGGCAGCGGAGAGGTCAAGGAGGACGAGAAGGCAGAGGGAGCCTTGGTCATACATGGTCAGGATGTTGTTTGTGACATTGACCAGAGCAGTTTCCATGCTGTGGGCAGCAGGAAACCCGATTGGAGGGTTTCACGGAGGGAGTGGGAGGAGAGAAAAGAGCGAAGCTGGGAAGCAACGGCTCTCTAAAGGACCTTGGATAGGAAAGGGAGGTTTGAGATGGGTTGGTAGCTGGATAGCTGTGATGGGTCAAGGGAAGATTTCTTTAAGGTGGAGGTGATAGTGGCTGTTTTGAGGGGGGAAGGAACAGAGCCAGATTATAGGGAGAGGTTGATGATGTCGACGAGTAGTGGGGAAAGGAGATGGAGCTGGGATTTAAGGAGAGGGGTGGGGATGGGGTCCAGGGAGCAGGTAGTGGGCTTCATGGAGGATATGGTTGTGAAGATAGAGGAGGGGGTGACAGGTTCAGAGGTGTGGAAGGAGGGATGGGTAATTGTTGGAGTGTAGGGTGGGGGTAGGGAGAGGGTGGAAGTTAGGGGGGCAGTGGCAGCTGAGCTCGAGGAAGTGCAGCATTTTCTCGAATTGAGAGTCAGAGGAAAGAATCTGCGAGGCGTGGCGGGGAGGGCGGAGGAGCCGGTTGGTGGTGGAGAACAGGCGCTTGGGGTTGCCCTTCACCTCCAGGATTAACCTGGAATAGAAGGACGATTTGGCCGAGGCGATAGCGAAGCAGTAGGTTTTGATGAGGTCCAGCCAGAGGATTTTGGGGGTTTTAGAAGGATTGTTACAGAGGTGGGAGGGATGGCAGAAGGTAAGGTGTTCGAAAGAAGGGAATGAGCCGGTGGACTAGGGAGATAGGGCAAGTGACACCCTGGATATGAAGGCCACACCACCACCATCACGGTGGTTGGGGCGTGGGGCATGGTGGTAGGCTTAGCCAGGTGGTGTGGTCTCAGTGAGGGGGAAGGTGTTGCCTGGGATGATCCAGGTTTCAGTTCGGGCCATGTCAATCTTCTCATCGAGGGTGAGTTCATTGACGGCCACGGTCTTGTTGGAGATGGAGCGGATGTTTTGAAGGCCAATGCGGAGTGGACAGTTGGCAGAGGGATATGTGGGATGGGAGAGGGTAGTGGATTGGTTGGCAGGGAGGGTGGGGATGCAGATGGGGGAAGAGAGGTTAGCCCCCGGGGTCTGGGTTCGGAGTGACAGACAGACAGAGGATGGGAGGGAGGGAGACGCTGGTATTAGGGTGCGGAAGTGACGTCACGCAGAATGGCGGGAAAAACCTGGAAATCCAAAATGACGGCTCCCCCTGATCAGGAAATGGCTGCCACTTGATCCCCAAGACCCCAGCCCCGAGATACCCGCCCCACCTCAGGATCCCCAAGACCCCGGCCCAGAGACACCCGCCCCACCTCAGGATCCCCAAGATCCCGGCCAAGAGACACCCACCCCAACTCAGGATCCCCGAGAACCGTTCCCTGAGTCACCCGCCCCACCTCAGGTTCCCCAAGACCCTGGCCCCGAGACACCCACCCCACCTCAGGGTCCCCGAGACCCCGGCCCCGAGACACCCGCCCCACCTCAGGTTCCCTCAAACACCCACCCCACCTCAGGGTCCCTGAGACACCCGCCTCACCTCAGGGTCCCCGAGACACCCAGCCCACCTCAGGGTCCCCGATACCCTGGCCCAGTCTACAGCTGCCTGCCGGTCCCCGCCTCGGGCTATGGTTGGCCTGGGACCCCGGACCCCACTCTGGCTATGGTCGGCCTGGGACCCCGGCCCCCACACTCGGGCTAAGCCATTGATTGGGATAAAGTTTCTGTGATGGATGTGAACGGAGTAGTTGCAATAATAATACCTGTTTTTGATAATAACTGTCCAATTTTCTGCTTCCTATCCTTCCGCCACTTTTCTATCCCAAACCATCACTTTTCCTGCCATAATCTGTGTGCCTCGAGTTTCTTCACTTGCCCTCTCTCCGCACCTTCTGGAAACCCAAATACATGACATCCAGAGCATTGCCTTCATCTACGCTTTCAGTTACTACCTCGAAGGACTTGATCAAGTTAGGCCCCGGCCCTCGCTCTGGCCACCGCCGGTCCCGACCCGATCCCCGGGAGACCAGGACCGTAACCCCCGCAACTGCCTGACTTACCTTCCGTGAGTCCCGCTCAGTTTACACGTGTTTTCGAGGCTCTGCCGCTCGCGACTGATCAGCGACAGCCTTCCCGTTGAGCCTTTCACCCAGAGCGTCATCCCCTCCCCGAACCCTCCTGTTGCCTCCGCCAATTCCCTGCCCGGGATCTGAGGCTGGAATCCCGGTTTCCCTGAGCCTCTCTCTGCAGTTGGTCCGGACGCAGCCCAGACAACGAACATCTCCCAACGTGACATGCCCCACACAGGGAGGGAGATGACTTGTCAGGTGGCCCTGGATCTCCACCTATACCCATTCTACACTTTGGCTCTCGTAAAAGTCTTAAATCACACGGTTCTCACCTCCTCCACCTACCCGACCTCTACGCTAAAACTCTCCGAAACCGTATGGAATCCAGGCAGCAAGTTCAACCCCCAATTATCCTTCCTGCCCCACATCCTGTCCCTCACCAGTACCGCCTTCTACCACCTCCGACGCATCGCTCGTCTCCGCCAATACCTCACCACAAAAGCCGCCAAAACTCTGGTCCAAGCCTTTGCTGGACTATTCAAATGCCCTCCTCACCGGTCTCCCCTCCACTACCATCCATAAAATCCAGGTCATCCAGAACTCTGCCGCCCGCATTTGCCCACAAATATACAGGCAATTCACTTTACAACACATTCTGTGAAGCGTTTTGAGACATCGAGAAGACGTGAAAAGTATTATATCAAATGCAAGGAGTCCTCTGCACCCGCCTACCTCTCTGACCTGCTCTCTACTCACAACAGTACCCGTTGCCTTCACTCCACAAGGTCTGGCCCTCGTCCCCAAAATCCTCCGCTCCACCACTGGCAGCCGTGCCTTCAGCCACTGCTCCCTGAGGCTCTGGAACTCCCTTTCTCACTCCCTTCGCTTTGCTCCCTTTCTTCCTATTTTCAGGTCTCGGCTGAAGACCTTTCTTTTCGACCGCGCCTTTGGTCACCTTCCTCCCCTTCCCCCGGCTCAGCCCCGGGATCCATTACTGTGAAGCGTCCTGACACACCGTCCGGCGTGCAGGGTGCTATATAAATCCAAGTTGTCTTTGTTATGCTTGTAATAGTGAACTGATCACCATGAATAAAACTTGCACCCAGCAAGTCCAGACCTGTAGGTTCACCATCCATTTTGGCTCAGTGTATTGAACTATTTTCAGTCTGTGCTCAGAGTTGAACATAAAGTTAGATCCCCTTACCTTTTAGATCCATCCCAGTTGTCAAGTTGGATTCCACTGTCTTCTCCCCAATGTTAGATGAAACCTGCTTCCTCCGAGTTCAGAATCTTTCTCGCTCACCCTCAAGCAGTCTGTCAGCTTCTGGAGTCAGTTTCCAGTTTCACTTTACACAATTTGACGTACAAGAAAGTTCATTATGCATCACATTGCTCCTCCTTCCAGCTCCATTTCAGACGCTGCCACTTTCAGCAGAAAGAATGAACTGGATTTTTATTGATTCTTATTGTGGCAAAAACTTCTTTAAGCTTCTCACAATAAAATTCCTGAATCAACCTAGGGGGTTGAACCTGACGCCCAGGTTGCATACGGGTTCGGAGAGTTTTAGGGGGAGGTCAGGTAGGTGAGAACCATGTGATTTAAGACTTTAACGAGAGACAAAGTGTAGAATCCGTAATCGATTCCATTTATAGAGCGCCTTTCATGTCAGGAGGACAGTTGGTTCAGGACCGAAGCAAGGGAGTAATGGACAGGGTGAGGGGAGGGAAGGGAGGGAGCGAGGAGGGGAGAAATGGACAGGGTGAGGGGAGGGAAGGGAGGAAGCGAGGAGGGGGAAATGGTCAGGGTGAGGGGAGGGAAGAGAGGGAGCGAGGAGGGGGTAGAGAATCGAGAGGAGAGCTGAAGGCACGGTCAAAGAGAAAGGTCTTGAGACCGGCCTTGAAGGAGGAAAGGGAGGAAGCGGCGAAGGCACTGGGGGATGGAGTTCCAGAGCCTCGGGGCTGAGAGGCTGAAGGCCCGGCCACCGATGGTAGGGCGTTTGGGGCGGGGGGTGTGGAGCAGACCAGAGTCAGAGGAACGGAGAGTACGGGCAGGTAGGTAGGGGGATAGTAGGTCAGAGAGGTAGGAGGGAGCGAGGCCGTGAATGGCCTTGTAGGTGAGGATGAGGATCTTGAATTCGATCCTCTGGGGGATGGGGAGTCAGTGGAGGTGAGCGAGGGCGAGGGTGAGGGCAAGGGTGGGATTGATGTGGTCTCGGTGTCTGGTGCGCGACAGTATACGAGCTGCAGAGTTCTGAATAACCTGCAGTGTGGAGGGAGGGCCGGGAAGGCCGGCGAGGAGAGAGTTCCCATAGTCCAGCCTTGAGGTGATAACGGTGTGGACCAGTGTTTCAGCAGCGTGAGGGGTGAGGTAGTGCTGTAGTCTAGCGAAGTATTATGTCTCAGAAGTATTTTGTGCAGCCAACGATGACAAATTGCATTTGAGTAGTGTCTTTCACCTCAGGAGGATGTCCTAAATCGCTGAACAGTCAAGAGTTTGCACCCGAGCGCTGGGGGTTGAAATCAAGAAGGGTGGAGGGCAAGGTGGGTGGGAGGCTGACTGAAGGCATGGTCAAAGAGGAAGGTTTTGAGACGAGCCTTGAAGGAGGCAATTTAAGGGGTGAGGTGGGGGGATTCGGGGATGGAGTTCCAGAGGGTGGGAGCAGAATGGCTGAACGCCCAACCACCGATGGTGGGGCAGGCTGGTGGGGGATGTGGAGTAGACCAGTGCCCGCCGAGCGGAGTGAACAGGAAGGTTGCTAAAGTGTTAGTAGGTCGCGGAGGACGAGAGGAGGAAGATGGTGGAGGGCATTGAAAGTAAGGACAAGGATCTTAAACGCAATCCTCTGGGGAAACGTGAAGCCGGGCGAAGATGGGGTTAATCGGCTTCCAGAGCTTCGTATGGGAGAGAACACAAACTGCAGAATTCTGAATAATCTGCAGTTTGTGGATGTAAGAGTTAGAAATTCCAGTGAGCAGGGAGACAGCGTAGTCAAGCCTGGACATAACGGAAACATGAATAAGGGTATTGGTAACCTGAGGGGACAGGTAGGGAGGGAGGTGACCACCGCTGACTCACCTGGGACCTGACACCAAACTTCCCTACCGGTTGACTTAGTCATAGATGACCTAAAGCAATGATCAAAGAGTTAGGTCCTCAGGTGCCTTGATCGAGGAGAGACAAAGCAAGTTAGTTGGAGGGACTCTGGGAAAGGAGCTTCAGAGAGTGGGGGCAAAATGGTGACGGTGGGGGTGCGGGACATGAAGGAAGACGGTGTTTGCTGGCCATAGGCAATGACCGAGTTGGGAGGTCGTAGAGAGGATTTTTTCATTGGGGAAAGAGACAGTTTTGCTATGAGGGTCGGGTCCAAATCCAGCACCTTGGGACGTCCTCCTGACGTGAAAGGCACAATACAAATGTAATTTTGTATTTGTAGGTAAAAGTAGATCTTCCAAAGAGCTGGCACACGCACGATGGGTTGAATGGCCTTCTATGCTGTAATATGCTATGATTCTAAATGATGTGATTCTATCGACAGGACTTTCAACCCAATCTCTGCTTTTTTCACACCTTTCAGTTGCCAAGTATCTCTCAAACTTCTTTTCAAACACACTGATTATAAACACATTATAAACGGGTATAAACACAATTATACCTGTGCAGTCTTCACAACCCTCTATGAGAAAAAATATTTCCTGATCTCACTTTTAACAACTCTAATTTTAAGAGTATGTGTATGTTTTGGATCCCCAGAAGAATTATCCAGTATCTAGTTTGTCCATTCTTTTCATTAATTTATACACGGTCCCTGAATCAAATTATCCTATATATTTCTTAACTCCAGGGAATGTAAAGTAACCACTCATCAGTCAAACCCTTTTATCCCATCTTTAATCCACTGAAGTCGCTGAAACCCCTCCAAGATTAGTATATCTCTCCTAAGATTTGATGCGCAAAATAGTACAAAGCACTCCAAATAAGGTCTCACCAGCACTTTATATAACTTAGCCGTTATGTATGTTTTGCGCCTCAAAAACTGGTTTCAATTTCCTTTTTTTGTTCATAATATAATAAAAATCCTTGCATTTGGTATAGTGCTTTTTATGTCTTCTAGACATTTCACAGAATAAACTGTAAAGTGAATTGACTGTACATTTTTTGAGTGAAACCATTCTGCAGAGATCTCAGCTTGGCTCAGTGATAGCGCTCCTGTCTTCGAGTCAGGTTGTGGGTCCAATTTCCACGTCTGGACTTGAACTCACATGGTCTGAGATGACACTCCAATGAAGTACTGGGGAGCGCTACATTGTCGGAGGTGATGAGACAGTAAACCGAGGTCCCGCCTGCCTGTTCAAGTGGATGTTGAAGATCACCATTTGAAAAGTGAAGGGAGTTTCTCTCTCCCGGTGTTCTGGTCAACAATCTATCAAATAAAAATTAGACATTAATTTTATGGCTGTATGTGGGACATTGATGTGCATAATTGTACTGCTCTGTTTGCCTACAAATACACAGTCACTTCATTTCATAGTAAATCCTGTGAAGTGTTTTTGAGACTTGATAAGGCGCTATACAAAACGCAAGGTTTTTAAAATTATTTATCATCTCAGAAATGAATTCCAAAGTATTAAAGAAAAGGTGATAAAGAATATAAACTAATTAATTAAACGACAATGTCTGTTTGGGGGTGTATTTGCCAATATCTCATTAACCGATTGACGTAGAGACACGATTTATATTCATCGGAAAGGTTTTGCAAAGACCTCAAGGTTCTTAAACTTATGGATCTTTTCACCAAAAATCATGTCTTTGGCAAAGTCCGTTGTTAGCTCTACACCATTGAGTGGCAAAAGTGTGGTCTTCCTCATGCACACATTCTTCTGTGGCTCATCGAACAAATGCGGCCGAACCAAATCGACAATGTGATCTCTGCAGAACTGCCAAACCCAGACCGAGACCCTGTGCTCTTTGAAATCGTAAAGAAACAAATGATTCACGGCCCATGTGGACAATTCACCAGAAAATCTCCCTGCGTGAAAGATGGCTCCTGCCAATGCAATATCCAAGGAGCTTCATACAGGAGACCCAAACAGGTCATGATGGGTATCCTTTGCACAGGCGGAGGTCAACTGGAGGTGGTGGATCCCATGCAGGACTGACAAACATCTGGTGGAAGTAGACAACCATTGGGTTGTCCCGTACAATCCCTATCACTTTCGGCTCTTCAACGCTCACATCAATGTTGAGTTTTGCAACTCTGTTAAGAGCATCAAATATGCGTGCAAATATGTGAACAGGGGATGTGACATGGCTGTGTTTGGACTCAGTAGCGGGAGGAAGCCCGAAGAGACGAGGTAACATACTACCAGATGGGTCAATATGTGAACACCAATGAAGCAATCTGGAGAAATTTGGGCTTCCACATACACGATCGATATCCAGCGGTCCAACACCTTCAAGTTCACCGTGAAAATGGCCAAAGGGTGTTTTTTTACAGAAGCAAATGTTCAGGAACCTAAACCTCCCAAAACCATGCTAACTGCATTCTTTGAACTATGTGTGTTTGCAAGAATCCTTCTCTACTTTGAGCTCCCAAAGAACTTCACATGGGACTCCCAGACCAAGAATATTAATATAATAATAATAATCACTGCATTTGATATAGCGCCTTATCACGTCATTGAGATGTCTCAAATCGCTTCATAGAATATACTGTCAAGTGTAGTAACAGTGTGTTTTGTGGGTGAAACGCAGCAGCCAATTGCACATAGCAGTGTCCCACCAACGGTCGTGAATTGATTGACCAAATGCTTTTTTTATGCTAACACGGAAATCTCATCAACGATAATTATGCAATACTTTCCGAGAAGCATGTCACCGCAGGGGTCTCCTAGAGGACGATGCCTACTGGAACCAGATATTAGAAGAAGCAGCTGCGGCACGGCACCGTCTAATATCAGACTGAGGGATTTGCAGACGAGTCAATGAGGGCTGGGATTCATCCCACTCAGCTCCTGTTAACTCTACAAGCCAAAGCCCTAATGGGGCGGTTGGTCCTCCCTGGACAAGCAGTGGGAAAGGTTGCCAGACAACAATATCAATGGCAAGATAGGCAGTTTTAGTTGGATAGACTCCAGCAGTTACCCCAGTGCACACTCTGGGGTCCCCAAACCTTTGCCAACCTGCGCTTAATACTTTCCAGAATTAGGTAAGGCAGGATGAGTCCCTCCAGGGAGAGAGTGCACATTCCATTCCAACAATCTATCTCTGGGATCTCCATGTGTAGGTGGGATGTATGGAAATCTCAGCTCGGTTTGGATACTCTAAAGCACAGTGATGGGCCGGGCCAACAGTAAAGTGCAGCCACACTTCTGAAGGTGAAGCTGATTGGCACAGGGAGTGTTGGGTCCACGGAAGTGGTGTGAGCAGGAAATTGGCTTTGCCCGCAAGTGAGAGAACCACGATAGAAATACCAGCTGCACGACACTACTCTCGTCTATCCACGCAATGCTCAGCCTAAAGTGAACTCCTGCGTCAAATTTGTGGTAAGTGCTGTACCATACAAATTAAAATGTTTAGTATTTTAAACATAACTACATGTTCAGGAAATATACGCCTATAGTTTTAATCCGGGTTGTTTCACAAAATGCGTCTCTCAATAACACCAATGAACCCTCCACAATTTTCCAAAAAGTTATCAAATTTCTCCATAGTTTTCCGTAAAATTTGTCAAATGCCCCTCGATATTTGACAAATATTCCTGCAATTTTCTATTGGCCCAGGTTATGGTTTCCACATGTGTCAGGCATCCAGCTCACAAAAAAAAGTCTTTTGTCAGCAATTCCCCAACTAGAGAAAGATTCCTGATCTAACATCTCATGCACCTTTAGGCACCTTGTTTATATCCCCTCTTAGTCTTCAGTATTCTCGTGCAAAACGGTCACATTTTGCCAGCATTTTTAATATGTATCAAGAATCCTAAAAATTAAAGACAAAAAGCACAGCACCCAACGGAGACGAAAACATTCACTTTTACTGATGTTGTGAACTCGATCCAAAGCCTTGTAGCTGATTGCTAAACGTTAACAAAAATCAAATCTCCTCAGCAAGTATACCCCGGGAAAGTAAAATTAATATCAACACCTCAACAACAATAGCAACAACAAAATTACATTTATAGAGCGCCTTTCACATCGGGAGACGTCCCAAAGCGCTGAACAGTCAGGTGTCGGGGTCCAAGCATGGGGGAGGGTTGGTGGAGGGGTGAGGGAAGGCAGAGAGGGTGACCAAAGTCACGGTCGAAGAGAAGGGTCTTGAGACCGACCTTGAAGGAGGCTAGAGAGGAAGCAAGGCGAAGGGACGGTGGGATGGGCAGGTCAGGCGGGAGCCATGGAGCAGACTGGAGCCCGCTGAACGGAGGGAGCGGACAGGTTGGTAGGGAGTCAGCAGGTCAGAGAGGTAGGAGGGGGCAAAGCCATGGATGGCCTTGAACGTGAGGACGAGGATCTTGAGGTCGATCCTCTGGTGGATGGGGAGCCAGTGGAGTCGGTCGAGGGTGGGAGTGATGGGGTCACAAAACCTGGTGCGTGAGAGTACACGAGCTGCAGAGTTTAGGATGATCTGCAGCTTGTGAAGGGAAGAGTTAGGAAGGTCGATGAGGATTTGGCCGAGGCGATAGCGAAGCAGTAGGTTTTGATGAGGTCCAGCCAGAGGATTTTGGGGGTTTTAGAAGGATTGTTACAGAGGTGGGAGGGATGGCAGAAGGTAAGGTGTTCGAAAGAAGGGAATGAGCCGGTGGACTAGGGAGATAGGGCAAGTGACACCCTGGATATGAAGGCCACACCACCACCATCACGGTGGTTGGGGCGTGGGGCATGGTGGTAGGTTTAGCCAGGTGGTGTGGTCTCAGTGAGGGGGAAGGTGTTGCCTGGGATGATCCAGGTTTCAGTTCGGGCCATGTCAATCTTCTCATCGAGGGTGAGTTCATTGACGGCCACGGTCTTGTTGGAGATGGAGCGGATGTTTTGAAGGCCAATGCGGAGTGGACAGTTGGCAGAGGGATATGTGGGATGGGAGAGGGTAGTGGATTGGTTGGCAGGGAGGGTGGGGATGCAGATGGGGGAAGAGAGGTTAGCCACCGGGGTCTGAGCCCGGGTGGCTTGCCGTGGTAATGGGGAATGGGGCAGTCGATGTATAGCCCGGATGAGCTCGGCAGAGGATTCCCAGGCTGGAACAGAGGGAGGCAGTGCGGGGGTTAAGCAGAGATAGGAGGCAGGGAGGGCGGAGGGAGAGCAGGACAGAGTGGGAGAGTTGCAGGGAGGGGGACATTTTGAGGGAGGGCAGCTCGGGTCGGGGGCGGTAGCCAAGATGCGCACTCTGAGACGAGAGGCGGTGGATTAGTGGGACATTGTCAGCCTGGAGGAGGCTGTGGGAGCTGGAGGTGACGCAGAGGGGGGTGGGCGCTCACTGTGGTCAGACAGACAGCCAGCCAGCCAGCCAGCCAGCCAGACAGACAGACAGACAGAGGATGGGATGGAGGGAGACACTGGTATAAGATGGACTGTACTGTACTGTCGCTGCCACCAGGGATTCAAACCTGATGTGCGGAAGTGACATCACACAGAATGGCGGGAAATGCAAAACGACGGCTCCCCCTGACCAGAAAATGGCCGCCACTCGATCCCCGAGACACCCGCTCCACCTCAGGGTCCCGAGACCCCGGTCCCCGAGACACCCGCCCCAACTCAGGATCCCCGAGATCCCGGTCCAACCTACAGCTGTCTGCCAGTCCCCGCCTCTTGCTATGGTCGGCCTGGGACCCCGGCCCCCACTCAGGCTATGGCTGGCCTGGGACCCCGACCCCACTCTGGCTATGGTCGGCCTCGGACCCCGGCCCCACACTCGGGCTAAGCCATTGATTGGGATAAAGTTTCTGTGATGGATGTGAACGGAGTAGTTGCAATAATAATACCTGTTTTTGATAATAACTGTCCAATTTTCTGCTTCCTATCCTTCCGCCACTTTTCTATCCCAAACCATCACTTTTCCTGCCATAATCTGTGCGTCTCGAGTTTCTTCACTTGCCCTCTCTCCGCATCTTCTGGAAACCCAAATACATGACATCCAGAGCGTTGCCTTCATCTACGCTTTCAGTTACTACCTCGAAGGACTTGATCAAGTTAGGCCCCGGCCCTCGCTCTGGCCACCGCCGGTCCCGACCCGATCCGCGGGAGACAGAGACCGTGACCCCCGCCGCTGCCTGACGTACCTTCCGTGAGTCCCGCTCAGTTTACACGTGTTTTCGAGGCTCTGCCGCTCGCGACTGATCAGCGACAGCCTTCCCGTTGAGCCTTTCACCCAGAGCGTCATCCCCTCCCCGAACCCTCCCGTTGCCTCCGCCAATTCCCTGCCCGGGATCTGAGGCTGGAATCCCGGTTGCCCTGAGCCTCTCTCTGCAGTTGGTCCGGACGCAGCCCAGACAACGAACATCTCCCGCGGTGACATGCCCCACACAGGGAGGGAGATGACCTGTCAGGTGGCCCTGGATCTCCACCTATACCCATTCTACTCTTTGGCTCTCGTCAACGTCTTAAATCACACGGTTCTCACCTCCTCCACCTACCCGACCTCCCCCTAAAACTCTCCGAAACCGTATGGAATCCAGGCATCAAGTTCAACCCCCAATTATCCTTCCTGCCCCACATCTGGTCCCTCACCTGCACCGCCTTCTACCACCTCTGACGCATCGCCCGTCTCCGCCAATACCTCACCCCAAAAGCCGCCAAAACTCTAGTCCAAGCCTTTGCTGGACTATTCAAATGCCCTCTTCACCGGTCTCCGCTCCACTACCATCCATAAAATCCAGGTCATCCAGAACTCTGCCGCCCGCATTTGCCCACAAATATACAGGCAATTCACTCTACAACACATTCTGTGAAGTGTTTTGAGACATCGAGAAGACGTGAAAAGTGTTATATCAAATGCAAGGAGTCCTCTGCACCCGCCTACCTCTCTGACCTCCTCTCCACTCACAACAATACCCGTGGCCTTCACTCCACCAGGTCTGGCCTCGTCCCCCGAATCCTCCGTTGCACCACTGGCAGCTGTGCCTTCAGCTACTGCTCTCCGAGGCTCTGGTACTGCCTTCTGGAATCTACTTTCAGTTTCACTTTACACAATTTGACGTACAAGAAAGTTCATTATGCATCACATTGCTTCTCCTTCCAGCTCCATTTCAGATGCTGCCACTTTCAGCAGAAAGAATGAACTGGATTTTTATTGATTCTTATCATGGCAAAAACTTCTTTAAGCTTCTCACAATAAAATTCCTGAATCATGGAATGTTATAGCACATTCTATATTCAAAACTCACTGGCTGACCATTCAGTTACCATAATTGTGTCTACCTTTCTGAAGAAGATTGCCACATCAACTTCCCTACCTGGTTCCATTTTCATATTCTCACCTCCTCATTCATGTCAAAATGTCTCAGTGCGGCCAACGACAACAAATTGCATTTGAGTAGTGTCTTTCACCTCAGGAGGATGTCCTAAATCGCTGAACAGTCAAGGGTTTGCACCCGAGCGCTGGGGATTGAAATCAAGAAGGGTGGAGGGCAAGGTGGGTGGGAGGCTGACTGAAGGCATGGTCAAAGAGGAAGGTCTTGAGACGAGCCTTGAAGGAGGCAATTTAAGGGGTGAGGTGGGGGGATTCGGGGATGGAGTTCCAGAGGGTGGGAGCAGAATGGCTGAACGCCCAACCACCGATGGTGGGGCAGGCTGGTGGGGGATGTGGAGTAGACCAGTGCCCGCCGAGCGGAGTGAACAGGAAGGTTGCTAAAGTGTTAGTAGGTCGTGGAGGACAAGAGGAGGAAGATGGTGGAGGGCTTTGAAAGTAAGGACAAGGATCTTAAATGCAATCCTCTGGGGAAACGTGAAGCCGGGCGAAGATGGGGTTAATCGGCTTCCAGAGCTTCGTATGGGAGAGAACACAAACTGCAGAATTCTGAATAATCTGCAGTTTGTGGATGTAAGAGTTAGAAATTCCAGTGAGCAGGGAGACAGCGTAGTCAAGCCTGGACATAACGGAAACATGAATAAGGGTATTGGTAACCTGAGGGGACAGGTAGGGAGGGAGGTGACCACCGCTGACTCACCTGGGACCTGACACCAAACTTCCCTACCGGTTGACTTAGTCATAGATGACCTAAAGCAATGATCAAAGAGTTAGGTCCTCAGGTGCCTTGATCGAGGAGAGATGAAGCAAGTTAGTTGGAGGGACTCTGGGAAAGGAGCTTCAGAGAGTGGGGGCAAAATGGTGACGGTGGGGGTGCGGGACATGAAGGAAGCCGGTGTTTGCTGGCCATAGGCAATGACCGAGTTGGGAGGTCGTAGAGAGGAGTTTATCATTGGGGAAAGAGACAGTTTTGCTATGAGGGTCGGGTCCAAATCCAGCACCTTGGGACGTCCTCCTGACGTGAAAGTCGCAATACAAATGTAATTTTGTATTTGAAGGTAAAAGTAGATCTTCCAAAGAGCTGGCACACGCACGATGGGTTGAATGGCCTTCTCTGCTGTAATATTCTATGATTCTAAATGATGCGATTCTATCGACAGGACTTTCAACCCAATCTCTGCTTTTTTCACACCTTTCAGTTGCCAAGTATCTCTCAAACTTCTTTTCAAACTGAAAAAATATTTTCTGTTCTCACTTTTAACAACTCTAATTTTAAGAGTATGTGTATGTTTTGGATCCCCAGAAGAATTATCCAGTATCTAGTTTGTCCATTCTTTTCATTAATTTATACACGATCCCTGAATCAAATTATCCTATATATTTCTTAACTCCAGGGAATGTAAAGTAACCACTCATCAGTCAAACCCTTTTATCCCATCTTTAATCCACTGAAGTCGCTGAAACCCCTCCAAGATTAGTATATCTCTCCTAAGATTTGATGCGCAAAATAGTACAAAGCACTCCAAATAAGGTCTCACCAGCACTTTATATAATTTAGCCGTTATGTATGTTTTGCACCTCAAAAACTGGTTTCAATTTCCTTTTTTTGTTCATAATATAATAAAAATCCTTGCATTCGGTATAGTGCTTTTTATGTCTTCTAGACATTTCACAGAATAAACTGTACAGTGAATTGACTGTACATTTTTTGAGTGAAACCATTCTGCAGAGATCTCAGCTTGGCTCAGTGATAGCGCTCCTGTCTTCGAGTCAGGTTGTGGGTCCAATTTCCACATCTGGACTTGAACTCACATGGTCTGAGATGACACTCCAATGAAGTACTGGGGAGCGCTACATTGTCGGAGGTGATGAGACAGTAAACCGAGGTCCCGCCTGCCTGTTCAAGTGGATGTTAAAGATCACCATTTGAAAAGTGAAGGGAGTTTCTCTCTCCCGGTGTCCTGGTCAACAATCTATCAAATAAAAATTAGTCATTAATTTTATGGCTGTATGTGGGACATTGATGTGCACAATTGTACTGCTCTGTTTGCCTACAAATACACAGTCACTTCATTTCATAGTAAATCCTATGAAGTGTTTTTGAGACTTGATAAGGCGCTATACAAAACGCAAGGTTTAGTGTGGTCTTCCTCATTCTTCTGTGGCTCATCGAAAAATGCGGCCGAACCAAATCGACAGAACCAAATCTGCAGAACTGCCAAACCCAGACCGAGACCCTGTGCTCTTTGAAATCATAAAGAAACAAATGATTCACGGCCCATGTGGACAATTCACCAGAAAATCTCCGTGCGTGAAAGATGGCTCCTGCCAATGCAATATCCAAGATGCTTCATACAGGAGACCCAAACAGGTCATGATGGGTATCCTTTGCACAGGCGGAGGTCAACTGGAGGTGGTGGATCCCATGCAGGACTGACAAACATCTGGTGGAAGTAGACAACCATTAATCCCTATCACTTCCAGCTCTTCAACGCTCACATCAATGTTGAGTTTTGCAACTCTATTAAGAGCATCAAATATGCGTGCAAATATGTGAACAGGGGATGTGACATGGCTGTGTTTGGACTCAGTAGCGGGAGGAAGCCCGAAGAGACGAGATAACATACTACCAGATGGGCCAATATGTGAACACCAATGAAGCAATCTGGAGAAATTTGGGCTTCCACATACACGATCGATATCCAGTGGTCCAACACCTTCAAGTTCACCTTGAAAATGGCCAAAGGGTGTTTTTTTACAGAAGCAAATGTTCAGGAACTTTAACTTGAAATTGATTGCAAGAACCTCACACTCACCTACAAATCACGTCAAGCCCGGAGCATCTCTCTACTTCTGCGACCTGCTCAGATCCCACTCTCCCCATCCTCTTCACTCAGGCAGCTTGGGTCTTCTACACATCCCACATCTCCTCTGTTCCACCAACGACGGCTGTGTTTTCCCTCTTGGGGATGTCATCCGCAGACATGGGGTACATTTCCACATGTACGCGGATGACGCCCAACTCTATTTTTCCACCTCTCTTTGCGACCCCCAGTCCCCTGATGTTCTGTTAGCTGCCTGTGAGATCTCAGGGGTTGAATGAATGCAAATTACCTTCAGATGAACGTTGACAAGACGGATGCCATACACTTTGGCTCTCGTCAAAGTCTAAAATCTCATGTTTCTCACCTCCTCCACCTACCCGACCTCCCCCCAAAACTCTCCGAACCCGCACGCAACTTAGGAGTCAGGTTCAACCCCCAATTATCTTTCCTCCCCCACATCCGGTCCCTCACCAGTACCGCTTTCTTCCACCTCCGACGCATCGCCTGTTTCTGCCAATACCTCTCTCCGAAAGCCGTTGAAACCCTGGTCCATTCCTTTGTCATCTCTCGGCTGGACTACTCTAACGCCCTCCTCGCCGGTCTCCCCTCCACTACCATCCATAAAATCCAAATGATTCAAAACTCTGCCACCCGCATTCTTACCCGCACCAAACTCCGTTCCCCGATTACCCCAGTTCTTGCCAGACTGCACTGGCTGCCTGTCCCGGAGAGGATTGCCTTCAAGATCCTCACCCTTGTCTTCAAATCCCTCCTCTGCACCTCCCTACCTCTCTGACCTCCTCTCTCCTCAAAACAGTACCCGTTGCCTTCGTTCCTCCGGGTCTGGCCTCTTCCTCCCTCCAATCCTCCGCTCCATCCTCGGCGGCTATGCCTTCAGCTACTATGCCCCGAGGCTCAGGAACCCCCTTCCTCACTCCCTCTTTTCCTATTTTCAGGTCTCTGCTGAAAATCTTTCTCTTTGACCGCGCCTTTGGTCACTTTCCTCCCCCTCCCCCTGGCTCAGCCCCGGGATCCGTTATTGTGAAGCGCTCAAACCACAGCTCGGTTTTATACCCACTTGCTTGTTTAATCCTTCCTAACCATCTGATCTATCTCAGATACCACCTTCTTGCTTTTATCTTTTCATCCCACAAAAAGTAACAAAAGGTTCCTTCTACCTCTGACCACATGTTGACCTCAACAGTAAAAACATGGATTTTGATAAGCAAAGGCAGCTTTGCATTAAAAAACAGTGACCTGAAATAAGAAAGCTCAACTTTCTCCAATTACTAACCTCAAGGTTAGCCCATTATCACATACCAGCGCCTCTTTATTGTTCTACCTCTCACCCAAGCCATCTTGTGGTGCATCCCATCTCCTCATTAATGTATCCAACCAAGCGAGGAAAGGACAACAAACATCCAGCAGGTCCACCCCGAGAAATACCTTAAAATTATCAATACAACCTCACTTGAAAGCATAGCATTACCAGGCACAGCAAAGACATTAGGCAAGAAAAGAGAGACATGATTCATTTCTAGTAAGGTTAAAAGAGTACAATCATCAGCAAAAATTTCACTTAAAAGCACAGTACTACAAATATTTAATAATTTCCATTTCAGGTGAAATACATAGCAATATACATTCATGGGTGCCATATGTCCTCAGGCAGCGTGTGTGTTCCTTCATTCAGCAGAGCATAGCATTCTGTGATCTGTAACATTTGTATAACTCATGCTCATTACTTGAAGAGGGTACAACTCCAGATAAGAAAATGGACAAAGTATGATCCAACAATCTCTATTAAAACAAGTACAAAATGTAATCAAATCATTATATCAGGAGTCTCCACCTGGTCGATCGCTGGTGGGTGGTGTCTTGCGCACGCGCAAGGAAAACAAGAGGCAGGAGTGACATTAACCACAGTTTAAACATTAAAGTTTATGTTTTGTATATTGAGATGCATGAAATGCTTTGTGCATCTGCTTCGTTTTCAATTGGCCTCAATTTCCTCGCAGGTCTATCGCTCCTTCCTCTTGTCTTTTTGGTCATGTGCGAGAGCGCCACCGCATGGGGATCGACCACAGACCCCTGCATTATATCAACTGCTATTGTGCAATGCTCCTGCAGATTGGCATCCGCATGTGTCAGACACCCAGTTGACAAAAGGAAATGACTCTTTGGGTGTGTGACACTGCAGTGGTATCACAAAGCTCACATACAGTGCGTTTTGAAAAGTGAGCATCAAAGGCACTTCTATTTGTGGCAGCATCGTAAAAATAAAACAACAATTTCACACATACTAGAGCAAAGTCCAGCAGGCCAGCATTGTATATAATCATGATTAATAAGCTTAAAGTTAATACAAAAATATGAAAAAAATCCAAGCAGTAAAATAATCAGTAAAATAAGAAACCTGGAAAAGCAACATGGTGGAATGGCAATCAACTTCCGCTCCAACTGCTTCTCATGTTCTTATGCCTCTTGCCTGAGGCAAATCATAAATTCCATTCTAATCGCATTCTAATCCCATTCTAATGGAGTCGATTTCATTTGATTTCTCAATCATGTCCTTCAGCTCCTCCGTGAAATCTATAATAAATCAAATAAAATGCATTAGTTCCCAACGTGAATCCAAACTGTCTTGTTGTGGCAAAGCTTTTGGGATTTTAATACCTGGTAAAATAGTGTGTCCAGGCCATTGAGCCAATCCCAGCTTCAAAGCTTTTCGGAGCTCTGTTTCCAGTTTCCGCTCCACATGAGCCTTTTAGTAATACAAGACAGAAGAACAGGAATTTATATCAGTTCCTCAATATCTAACTACATAAATACTAAAACAAAAGGGTGCAAAGGGTAAGACACGGCTCTACAGGACTTACATCAGTTGTGAGTAAACTTTTGGAGGCAATAATCAGAGTCCAGGTTGGCAATTACTTAAGATGGGGGTGAGTTAAGTTGGGACAGTCAGTGTGGATTTGCAAAGCTCAGATCATGTTTTCTAATTTGATCAAGTTCTTCGAGGTAGTAACTGAAAGTGTAGATGAAGGCAACGCTATGGATATTATGTATTTGGATTTCCAGAAGCCGTTTGATAAGGTGCCAGAAAGAGGGCAAGTGAAGAAACTCAAGGCGCACAGATTAAGGCAGGAAAAGTGATGGTTTGATAGAAAAGTGGCTGAAGGATAGGAAGCAGAAAGTTGGACAGGTATTATCAAAAACAGGTATTATTATTACAACTGCTCCATTCACATCCATCACATAAACTTTATCTCAATCACAGGATAACAAGTTAGAAAATATCATTAATTGGGAGCAACCTTCATCTCGTTGAACTCCTTCATCGTTTTGCCTACAGCATATGTGAACATTGTTGATTTGTGAGTTTCGAGATGGGTTGTTAGTATGCGCTTCATTTCCTTCAGGAGTTTTGAACCTTTTTTCTGAGAAGCTTCTGAAAAGTGAAAAGTGCTGTTATACGGGGAATCCTTTCTGTGTGAAAGCAAAGATACCCGAGGCAGTCGCGGGAAGACTTACCTTCATACGCTGGTTTCATATAGTGTTGAACAGACTTAGCAGGCGATCTATAAATAGATTTCTTCTTTTCAATGATGTAATTCTCCATGTCAATAAAGAATCCATTCCCCTGTAACAGGATTTAATTACAGTAACAACAAATCAGCACAATGTACAAGTATAGAGACTGAAGCAGGAAGAATTGGAGCATGTGACCCAGGTAACAAAAATGGCACAAGGAATAAAAACTGTCCTTAAAAAGAAAATATAATGATTGGGAGAAGAAAATCATGCATGGTCAATTTCCAAGAGAATGAAAGAACAAGGCCTAGATATGAACCAAAGCCACAACTGGTTCACTAACGGGGATCTGAGAGCCGAAACAGAAGCTCTCATAATACTGTATCAGCACAAGACCAACCTATTACTACCTGTTATTATGAAAATAAGATTTTAAAGAGAAACGCTGCTCCAAAATGCCAAATGTGGCATTAAGCACCAGAATCGGTTGACCACATATTGTCATCATGCCCAGCCCCACCACAATCAGAGGATCGTATTCCACATAACAATGTAATAGAAGTGAAATCAAAAAATAACGTACAGATACAGATGCATACAGGTGAAATAATAATCTAATAATGCAGCTATTGTAGTATTATTGATGTGGCTGTCCCAGTGATTACAAAGCAAGAAATGAGGAAATAGAGAAGATGAGGTCATTGATGTGGACACATGGGGCAGTATAAAACAAGCAATAGTTACTATAATCACTGGTGCAACTGGGACTGTTAATAAGACGAGTCAGAAATGGCTTGACAAAATACCTGGTGAACAAAATATCAATCTCCTGCAGTAGCCATTTTAGGAAGTTCAAACATATGAAAAGTAACATGCATTCATATTTAATGTGTTATTAGTCTGGCTGGCCATCACTGAAAACCGCCTAGAAACTACCTTCTACAGAGTGATTTAAATGGTAATAACATACTAATAATCCTTACATTGGTATCACACCACTAATGTCATGAGGATGCCTCAAAGCGCAGGGAAGTAATGACAGAATTACTCCAAATGCCAACACGCTGGGCCATTTAGGGAGTATGTGATATTCAATGCATTGTAAATAGTAACTTTTCAAGATCCTCACACTCATCGTCAAATCCCTTCATGGCCTGGCACCTTCCTACCTCTCCGACCTGCTTACTCCCCAACCCACTCAATCGGGATCCGAACCAGAGTTAGCCAGAGTGGGGACTGGGGTCCCAGGCCAACGATAGCCAGAGGCAGGGGCCGGCAGGTAGCTGAATGCTGGGCCGGGGTCTCGGGGACCCTGACGTGGGGCGGGTGTCTTGGGGCCGGGGTCTCGGGAACCCTGAGGTTTGGGCGGGTGTCTTGGGGCCGGGGTCTCGGGGACCCTGAGGTGGGGCGGGTGTCTTGGGGCCGGGGTCTCGGGCCTCCTCAGTGGGGCGGGTGTCTCAGGGCCGGGGTCTCGGGGATCGAGTGGCGGCCATTTTCTGGTCAGGGGGAGCCGTCGTTTTGCATTTCCCGCCATTCCGTGTGACGTCACTTCCGCACATCAGGTTTGAATCCCTGGTGGCAGCGACAGTACAGTACAGTCCATCTTATACCAGTGTCTCCCTCCATCCCATCCTCTGTGTCTGTCTGTCTGTCTGTCTGTCTGTCTGTCCGTCTGTCTGTCTGTCTGTCTGTCTGTCTGTCTGTCTGTCTGCCTGGTCTGTCTGTCTGTCTGCCTTTCTGTCTGTCTGTCTGTCTGTCCTGTCTGTCTGTCTGTCTGTCTGTCTGTCCTGTCTGTCTGTCTGTCTGTCTGTCTGTCTGTCTGTCTGTCTGTCTGTCTGTCTGTCTGTCTGTCTGTCTGTCTGTCTGTCTGTCTGTCTGTCTGTCTGGCTGGCTGGCTGGCTGGCTGTCTGTCTGTCTGTCTGACCACAGTGAGCGCCCACCCCCCTCTGCGTCACCTCCAGCTCCCACAGCCTCCTCCAGGCTGACAATGTCTCACTCGTCCACCGCCTCTCGTCTCAGAGTGCGCATCTTGGCTACCGCCCCCGACCCGAGCTGCCCTCCCTCAAAATGTCCCCCTCCCTGCAACTCTCCCACTCTGTCCTGCTCTCCCTCCGCCCTCCCTGCCACCTATCTCTGCTTAACCCCCCGCACTGCCTCCCTCTGTTCCAGCCTGGGAATCCTCTGCCGGTCTCATCGCGGCACTGGGCGTTGGCTGTCCAGCAACAGCCACACCGATTGCCCCATTTGCCACTATCGCGGCACTCCCCACTCTCCTCTTACAATCTCTCCCTCCACATCCACTCTGCTACCCACACCCACAGTCACCCTCTAGACCTGGTGATCACCCGGGGCCTCAGTGTCTCGGATGTCACCATCATTGACAAGGTCATCACTGACCACCATTTCATCTCCCATATCCCTCTCCCCACTGCCTGCAAACCTACCACCATTGTCTACCGCTCGTTGTAGAAGATCTCCCCGCAGTTCCTCTCCGCTGCCCTAAAGTCGTCTGAACTCCTCCCCCTCTGGTCCACCTCTCGCACCAACCCAGTCGCTATGCTTACTCTTCTCCAAAGCACCCTCTCCATCACACTTGACGCCCTTGCCTCCCTCACCTCCCGAACTGCCTCCTATTCCAGATCCTTACCCTGATTTGCCAGCCACCTTAAGGGCAAGGTGCCTGCTGCTGAATGCACCTGGCTCAAATCCAGCCTAACGGTCCACCGCCACATCTGGCTGGACCTCATCAAAACCTACCCCTTCGCTCTCACCTCAGCCAAATCGTCCTTCTATTCCAGGTTAAACCTGGAGGTGAAGGGCAACCCCAAGCGCCTGTTCTCCACCACCAACCGGCTCCTCCACCCTCCCCGTTACGCCTCGCAGATTCTTTCCTCTGACTCTCATTGCGAGAAAATCCTGGACTTCCTCGAGTCCATAATTAATGGAATCCACTCAGCTGCCACTGCCCCCCCAACTTCCACCCCCTCCCTACCCTCACCCCATACTCCAACAATTATTCATCCCTCCTTCCACACTTTTGAACCTGTCACCCCCTCCTCTGTCTTCACTACCATATCCTCCATGAAGCCCACCACCTGCTCCCTGAACCCCATCCCCACCCCTCTCCTTAAATCCCAGTTCCACCTCTTTGCTCCACTACTCGCTGACATCATCAACTTCTCCCTGTAATCTGGCACTGTTCTCCCCCTTTAAAACAGCCCTATCACCCCCACCTTGAAGAAACCTTCCCTTGACCCATCACAGCTATCCAGCTAACGGCCCATCTCAAACTTCCCTTTCCTATCCAAGGTCCTTGAGAGAGCTGTGGCCTTCCAGCTTTGCTCTTTCCTCACTTTTAAGGCCATCCATGGCCTTGCCCCCTTCTACCTCTCTGACCTGCTGACTCCCTACTAACCTGCCTGCTCCCTCCGTTCAGCGGGCTCGATGTCTTGTGCCTGACCCGCCCTACCATCAGTGGCCGGGCTTTCAGTCTCTCTGACCCCGCACTCTGGAACTCCATCCCACGGTCTCTTCACCTCGCTTCCTTCTTTGCCTCCTTCAAGGCCGGTCTCAAGACCCTTCTCTTCGATCATGCCTTTGGTCGCTCTTCCACCTCTCTGCCTTCCCTCACCTCTACACCACCCCTCCCCCATGCTCGGGTCCTGACCCCTGACTGTTCCGCGCTTTGGGACGTCCTCCCGAAGTGAAAGGCGCTCTATAAATGTCATTTTGTTGTTGTATGTTTGATACCTCTATTCAGGAGCACTGAATCTATTATTTAACTTACAAAGAGTGATAAGTTTTTTTTACTATTGATATCGGTAACTTTCTATTCTTACCTGGGCTATCAGGAATTTCTCCCGATGTTCCCAAGATTCTGCATTTCCTGTTGAGGATCTATTCTTTAAATTTTCCTTGATGACTGTAGTCATTGAAGTTTGAAAAATTTCCAGACATCCTTTGATATTATTTCTGGTACCTCTCTTCATCCTAGAAAAATATAGCAAAATAACAACATCCTCATGTTTCTATGTGGAGTGAGTGATGGCCTCAGTGGTTGGAGAGAAGAATGGGGCAGCTAGGAGCTGCAGTCCTGTAACTCATTGGTTAGAGCACTTGTTTCGCAAGCGAGAGGACCTGGGTTCAATTCCTGGGCACGGCAAAACATTAGGCAAGTTTCCTTACTCAATACACCTCTGTTTACCCAGCAGTAAATAGGAACCTGGTTGTTAAGTCAATTGGCTTTACCCGGAGTAATAATCCCTTCAAAAATAAATGTTAAAACATAATAATAATTTGGTCACTCAGTCCACGACTGTTTGTGGGACACTGCTGTGCCCAATTGGCAACTGCATTTTGCTCACAAAATACTCAGTCAATTCACCTTACAGTGTATTCTGTGAAGCGCTTTGAGCTGTCACAAAGACGTGATAAGGTGCTATATCAAATGCAAGGATTATCATTATTAAATGAGCCATCTTGTGAATTATCTCCTGACATCATCTAAATCATTACAAGTGTTATGTGATTGGTTTTGGATACTTACTGAAACATATTTCTGAATATAGATTCCATTACTTCATACAGAGGCTTTGCTATTTCATGGTTAACGTCAATTTCTCCAAACTTGCGAGATATGTGAATTCCATCCTTCTGACATATCGCCTTCAGAGTCCTGTGGTAGCCTTGGTTACTATTGCTAGGCTAAAAAAAAGGACATGAGTAATTAGGACACAATAAGCTATATTCACCAGGTTTCAATCTATGATTAGTCCTTCTTTTCAGTCATAACATTGTTTTGAAGTGTAAAGTCTATGAAACAAATGCCCTCCTGTTGTCCATTTTTTATAGATTATTACAGCACAGAAAATAGACATTTTGTCCATCAGGTCTATTCTGTGGTGTTGCTCCATGTGAGCCACTGATCTAATCCCATCAAGCAATGAGGTGGGTTTGTGGCAAACATGGGAAATGGTTGCAGAGAGGGAGAGTCTAACGCCTGTAATCCACCTTGATTGGCCTGACAGCCCAGCAGCTGTTGCTTAAACTCCACACCTCCAATAGGTGGAACCATCGCTCAATGGGAAGGGATGTGTGCCTGAGCTGTGGGCAGGAACACGGTGGCAGTGCTCTCACACATTTCATGCTGAGATGTGTCGCCCACCGGGAAGCTTGCAGGGAGTCCCTGGTACCCACCATCCACCTAGTGAGGGCTTGTAGGAAGTCGAGTGACTATCCTCCTGGGTGGGGTGGGGTGAGAGGCAAGATGAACTGGCTCATGCTTGGCAACGGAAAGTCTGAATCGAGCCAGACCTCGGACTCTGGTTCCTTAATAATAATAATCCTTGCATTTGATTGAGCGCTTTTCACATCTTCTAGATGTCCCAAAGCGCTTCACACAATATACTGTAAAGTGAAATTGACTGTATATTTGTGGGCGAACGCGGCAGCCAATTGCGCACAGCAATGTCCCACAAACAGTCATAGATTAAAAATGACCAATTTATTATTGTTTTTGGTTTTGGAGGGATTATTATTAGGCTCTGTGTGGAGTAAGGAAACTTGCCCAAGGTTTCGCCCTCTGCCTGGAATTGAACTCAGGTGTCTCACTTGCAAAGCGAGTGCTCTAACCACTGAGCTACAGGACTTCATGGTTTTATAATAATAATAATAATAATAATAATCCTTGCATTTGATATAGCGCTTTTCACGTCGGGAGGACGTCCCAAAGCGCTTCACAGAACACTGTAAAGTGAATTGACTGTATATTTGTGGGCGAACAAGGCAGCCAATTGCACACAGCAATGTCCCACAAACAGTCGTGGATTGAAAATGACCAATTTATTATTGTTTTTGGTTTTGGAGGGATTATTATTAGGCTCTGTGTGGAGTAAGGAAACTTGCCCAAGGTTTCGCCCTCTGCCTGGAATTGAACTCAGGTCTCTCAAACCAAGCACGTGCAAATGGGGTGCCCATGGGAGAGGGTTTATTTAGATTTTATCAGTCCCTTGCTGCACACGGCCAGAGGTAATCACCATTTACTCGTGTTCGTTGATTACGTGACTGGATTTCCCATAGCCTAGGAGGTGCACGGCTAAAACTGCATTCCAGACAAATAACAGAGCAGCTTTCCTCAGAAACAGGGTTATGAAAATTCTCAAATCTAACCATGGAAGCCGTTTCAAGGCGGTCATAATAAAGTCGGTGACCTATGATCTGGGCATTCGACATAATTTGCATGTACCTTACCATCCAAGAGCCATCTAAACTAATATTAATATTAAAAAGCATCATGTTACAAGCTTAGAAACTAATTATTCAGGCAGTGCAAGCAGAATTAGACTCTGGACTTCTGTTTCTTACTTTGAGGAATAGTTATTTCCGAACGACCATTATTAAACTCAAACAGCGGAGTTTGTCAAGGAACAAGTTGAAAGCTATACTCCACACTCTTGGACAACTATATGTTCTAACTAAACTTAAAAAGAAGGGTCACTTCAATCCACCATTGTTTGTGGGGACACTGCTGTGCGCAATTGGCTGCTGCATTTCGCTCACAAATATGGCCAATTCACTTTACAGTATATTCTGTGAAGCGCTTTGAGATGTCTCGATGATGTGAAAAGCACTGTATCAAATGCAAGGATTATTATTATTACTATTCTTATCCAGAGAGTTCTGGAAAAGTCAAGAGAACTAATGGACTCATAAAAAGTGGCCTCAAAAAGGCATGTATCCAGAAAGGATGCAGATGTGACGAGCGAATCTCCTGGGTCTTGATAGGCCTCAACAACAGATCAGGGTTGACATCGTTTTACCTCTTCCACGGAAGACAAATAATTACCCCGCTTACACAGATGCCAGCGGAAATCTCTGCTTCGCAGTTAGAGGACTTTGAGCAGCCTTTAGTTGATATGATAACTCAGCATAATACAGGTCACCATTCTGAAAACACTTGGACTACAAGCAGGAGGATTTGCTTACTTGGAAGACACATTACAGGTTAGGGACGTTACGAGAAAGATTCCACAAACCCAGTAAAGTTGTGGAAATCCTGAATTCTAAAACAATAAAAATCCTCAGATTACAGTTTTGAGTCCTGTAGTTGGAGTCCTGTAGCTCAGTGGTTAGAGCACTCGCTTTGCAAGTGAGACACCTGAGTTCAATTCCAGGCAGAGGGCGAAACCTTGGGCAAGTTTCCTTACTCCACACAGAGCCTAATAATAATCCCTCCAAAACCAAAAACAATAATAAATTGGTCATTTTTAATCTACGACTGTTTGTGGGACATTGCTGTGTGCAATTGGCTGCCGCGTTCGCCCACAAGTATACAGTCAATTCACTTTACAGTGTGTTCTGTGAAGCGCTTTGGGACGTCCTCCCGACGTGAAAAGCGCTATATCAAATGCAAGGATTATTATTATTATTTTATTGACCGACCAGATCAAACGAGTACAAGTTTGTCAAACCATTTGGATGTTGGGGAGACAATGGCGTGTCAGCCAACCCCTTTCTCCGGGTTCAGATATTGAGGAATGCGAAAATGGAGGAGCCATTCGAAAGCTGGACTGTATAAACACCTGGAGGTGACAGTCAAATGCAGTTGTCAAATGTCTGCCACTCTGCCCCCATCCTCTGGAACTCCATCGCCCTCTGTTTTGCACCCTCGCTTTCCTCCTTCAAGACCTGTCTCAAGACCCTCCTCTTCGACCGTGCCTTCGGTCACCCTCCTTCCCCCCTGCCCTCCCCACCCTCCCCAATCCCAACCCTCAGCTCAGGTCTGAAACACTGATTGTCCAGTGCCTTGGGACGTCCTCCCGATGTGAAAGGTGCTATACAAATGTAATTTGTTTGTTGTTCAATGGGAATGTCTGGAAATCGTATTCTAAATTCTGGGATTGACCTGTTGATTATCAAAATTGGGTATAATGAGCTGCTTTATTATACATAAGAATATGTTTTTNATCGTAGTAACTGGCATAAGTCTCTGAAAACAAGATACTGTGTGTAAGTTTCTGTCTTCTAGCTGAACTTGAGATACATGTGGTTTACAGAGACAGAAAGCGAGAGAACAGCAACAGGCATTCTTGGAGAGCAATATGACAGAACAGAATATTTTGTGACTTTTGAATTCTTTCCTCCTACAGATCGATAACCAAGATATTATTTTCCGAACATATGAATTATCGAGAGGGGGAATGTCATGGTTACTCTATTCTTGCAGTCTATAGTAATGTGTAAATAATATATATAATACTGTATATATTATTTAAAGGAATAGGGAAGCCTGCTCCTTAAAATGGATTTAGCTGCAGAAGCTCTGTGCAAAAGGCTTAGCCAACAAGGTTCATGAGGTATATGAGTTGCAACAATGCATAGGTCTAGGGCTGTTTGATTGACAGTCACTTAACAAGCAGCCTGGAGAGTAAAAGAACACGTGGGCGCTAATGCGGGAAAAAGCCCTTGCATTTGCATCATATGGTGGGGGGAGCCACACACCTATAAAAAGCAATGCTTGGCACTCCTCGTGGTCGCTAACTAATGATCATCATCCGCTACGTACTGACGTGTACAGGACTATGTACCGTTGGGTCGGTTTAAATCTTTTTTTTACTAATGTTGTATTGTGCTGCAAGTTGATATAGTTACGTGTGATAGTTATGTTTGATTTTATTGCTGTATATCTTAAATTGTTGTGTTCCTTGTATGCAAGGTAGCCGAGGGTTCCTAGGTCTTAAAAAAGAGCTGTTGTTTCTGCCGACTGTATCCTTGAGTCGACATTGGAGTTTTGCTAGTGCGAGCAGACTCTGATTAGACATTCCAGTTACCGGGCATTGAAGTTAACTGGGAATACCGGTCTGTGTTCGTGACTCTGGCTCAGCCGAGTCATCTTCAAAACAGGGATTCATACTGACAGGGTTACCAGAGAGCAGAGGCCACTTAGTACAAAAGCGTTACTAAAATTCGCAAGTACATCAAGGAATGAGAACCGTCGCAGTTTGGAAAGGCTAAGCAGTGGGACTAAATGAATTGTTCCTTCAGACAACTGACACAGGCACAGTGGGCTGAATGGCCTCTTTTCTATTGTAGCATTCTGTGATTCTACTGGTCTCATATTGTGAAAATACTTGTGTAAAAAAAAATCAAATGTAGATGACTCATCCATACTTACCAACTCTACCCGTTTTTCAATGGCTTTCATGCACACTTTCTCTGCTTTCTTACACCCCTGACTGAGAGAATTCTCCAGCTTGGTGGCAAGATTTTTTATTTCATGAGCAAACTCTTTCATTTGACTCTGCAGTGCCAAATCAATGATCTTAAATGTACTCTTGTAAAACTGCAAAATAAACGTTTAAAATCTGTATATGTACAGCATTTAATCACATACTATAGGCATGTGCACAAATTCATTCATGTTAACCTTGCTTTATCTTAGGTTTAGTACAGCTTGGGTTGGGATGCTGCAAGGTATTTAAAAAAGACAAGCACATGAAAAGGTAGGATATTAGTGGGTACGTGGTTAGAGCATTCGCCTCACAAGCGAGAGGACCTGGGCTTGAATGGGAGGGAGGAAGGGAGGGAGCAAGTCAGAGGGCCTCTGGGAATGGACCTCCAGAGAGTGAAAGGAACATGGCGATGGTAGGGTAGATGGGGTGTGGGCACATGAAACAAGCCGATGTTTGTTGGGCAAAGGGAACGGCCGGGTCGGGAGGTTGCAGAGATAGGATGGGGAGGGGGAAATGAAGGACGTATAGGAGTTTCTCACTGGGGAAAGAGGGAGCTTTCTGTGAGGAAACTGCATGGCAAGGCCCTCGGTGTCTGTCCTCGGTCCCCCTCCAATCGTATGTCCTGATAGTGAACTGCAAAACATTGCCCTCACTTCTCCTCTCTTTGTCTCTACTCTTTCACTCGCTTTGTTTCTCTAACACCCTCTCTTCCACACAAACTCTCTCCCCTCTCCAAAAACCCAGCGACTTCCTCTGAAGGTGGAGGGAATCCCTATATAGAGCCTGTCGGCATTTGTCACACATGTGCAGTGACCCAATCCCAATTGTCTGCAAACTGCAACAAATAGTCCCACATATGAACCAGATGTGCTGGACACCAACTGTGCTTCAATCTTGGGTCAGCAGAGTTACAAAACCTTAACCTTCTTCTAGCCTGAACACTGAATGAAAGAGGAAGAATCAGTAGAAATTTATAGCACTTTACTTTTACAAAACGGTATTCCACATTGTCCAAATACCTCATTGGCCACGGAGTCCTTCAGGGAGGTGAGAAGGTGTAGCATTCCGCAAACCTCTGAAACATAGACACTCACTACCTTCTTCCTATTTTTCAGATATACATCGACAATGTGATCCTTTAAATCTGGTATTCCTAAAGAGGAAACACACAGAAAATATACAGTAAGTATCTAGACCTGAAAATTGTGTCATGACCACAGTGTGGGAAACAAGGAAATCCCCAACTACTGCAGAAACCATCTACATTCCAGTCAAATCCAGGTACAGCTACAAACTGGGATAAACAATGGTATAATAATACTTGCATTTGATAGTGTCTTCATATCTGGAAGACATCTCAAATTGCTTTGGTCAACTGGGTGACACCTTGAGCTTTCACCTTGCTTACGTGTCCAAACTAAACTGAAAATCCCATGCTTGCCATCTATCTACACATGGAAATTCCCATGTCAGAACTGGAATGTGTAGATGGCATGCATGGGACTTTCAGTTTAGTCTGGACACTCTTTTAAGCAACGTGAAACCTCAGGGTGTGTCTAAGGGGGTGGTGGTGGGGGGGTGGGGAGGGGGCAATGCTGGGCAGGTAACATACTTGACAGACAACAAAATATTCGATTGAGGGGAAATTGAAGATGAGATGAGTTCCGTCTGCCAGTGGTGCAATTTGAAAGGAGGAACATTACAGGGACCCTGTACAGGAATATTACCTGTGAGTCATATAAATGCATGAAATATCCATCAAGGTATGTTATAATAAAAAAAAGCTTGAGTTTGATACAGCGCCGTATCACGTCATTGAGACGTCTCAAAGCGCTTCACAGAATATACTGTAAAGTGAATTGACTGGAAATCCCACTTTGTTTGGAATGGAATACACATTCTCCCCAGAGTGACACAACCTGCTTGTCCAATTAGACGAGGGTGGGGAAGAGGCAAAGCTTGAAGAGCCTAGAGAGTGTGCTGGCACACTGCTGGAATTTATGCTTGCCTTCGTGAAGGCTGTCCAGAAAGCTTCCTAGTACTGCTACTCCCTATCTCACTCCACTATAATTGACAGCCGAAATTATGCCTCGTATTGCCACATACCTGTTTCGCTATCAATGAAGATTGACTTGTAGTGGTCATTATGAACTTTCCAATATTCCTCACAGCTCACTGTGAAGACGTGGATGTCATCCCTTGAAAACTCACATTCACTTGTGATTTGATGCTTTAAAATAAGAAATTATTAAAATTCACTCCATCCCTGCTCAATATGAATGACAGAATGAAGACACCAATTTCACTTCTTAACCTGTGTCCTGAGGAACACTTGATCCAATTATTCTTTGGACATACTGTTAATGTGCACAATATACAGCTCATTTTAACCTTCAGCCAACTTATCTCACTTCTAATGCAAATACTGTATCTCTTTCCGCCCCAGCAAGGATTTTTTTCAACAAAATATATATTTATTTGTTGATATATATTGATGCTTATCTCGGATAGTATCAAACCTGCTACACAAAAAAGAGAAGAAACACGTTATTTTCCTGTTTCAGGATGCTCCCTTGAAGTCAGTCACACATGTGCGTGCCCACACACACCCTGATAAGGTGCACTTGACGATTTGAATGGTGCCCTAATGTGCACTGTACATGTTTACCCAAACACACCCGGGAACCTAACAAACCCCAAAACCCCTCATGCATTAGAACAACCCAAACCAGTCCTAACCCTGTCTGCCCAGTAAGGATATTACAAACACCCCAAATGAAGTTGCAGCAGTGAATGTGTCTACAAAGGAGTACACTTTGGAGAGCACATTCCTGAATCCCAGTGCTTTTTTTTAAGGCCTGAATCCAATTGTTTCCTATGTTATTGGTGATCGCATGTATGTGTCAGACATCTGGCTGAACACAATTTTTTTTAATGTTATTGGTTTCAACATAAACACCACTTCCATTGATCCCATTCACTCTCCAAAAGGTTCTGCGCAAGCTTCACTGATGTTACATCTGCGATCCCCACAAAATATACAGTCAATTCAATATACAGCATATTTTGTGAAGTGCTTTGAGACGTCTCGAAGACATGATAAGGTGCTATATCCAATGCAAGGAATATTATAATAATAATAATAATAATAATAATAATAATAATCCTTGCATTTGATATAGCGCTTTTCACGTCGGGAGGACGTCCCAAAGCGCTTCACAGAACACACTGTAAAGTGAATTGACTGTATATTTTGTGGGCGAACGCGGCAGTCAATTGCGCACAGCAATGTCCCACAAACAGTCGTAGATTGAAAATGACCAATTTCTTATTGTTTTTGGTTTTTTTGGAGGGATTATTATTAGGCTCTGTGTGGAGTAAGGAAACTTGCCCAAGGTTTCGCCCTCTGCCTGGAATTGAACTCAGGTCTCTCGCTTGCAAAGCGAGTGCTCTAACCACTGAGCTACAGGACTGGGTGTGTTGGGTGGTCCAAATTTGACCACTGCAGTTAGACAGGCCTTGTCAGGTAGGCTTCACACTATAGTGAGTCAACGTTTCGGGTCCACGACCCACGACTGGTGTTCTGACGAAGGGTCGTGGACCCGAAATGTTGACTCACTTTCCTTTCTCCATGGATGCTGCCTGACTGTTGAGTTTTCCCAGCTCTCTGTTTTTGTTTCAGATTCCAGCATCTGCAGTATTTTGGGTTTTGTTCACACGATAGTACTTACTTTCCTTCTATTCCATTTCTCTTTACAACGCTTGAGTACATTTTTCTTGACAATATCATTTCGTTTCAGCACACAGAAATGTCTCTCCTTTGTCTCACGAACTTCTGGACTATCGTTTGGCTGCATAAAGAAGGAAAATTGATCAACAACTTCAGTGAAGTACTGTGGGAACATGTTCTCAGAGTGCAGGGATGGGGAAAATTGCATTTAGGATTAACTTACAGATATATTCATTTCTTCTGGGCTTATGTTTTGCTCTCTGAAAAAACACATCAGAAATATATGAGCAAAACCATAGAAATGTACAACACAGTAAGAGGTCATTCCGCCTATTTTTTGCATCTCTGTTTGCTCCCCCAATAAGACATCCATGTTAATCCCAATTCCCTGTTCTTTTCCCCTCCCCTGTAATAGCATTCCTCTGCAAATCCTTGTCTAATTCTCTTTCAATAGACTTAATCGACTCTGCTCTAACAGGCAGCCCCGGCAATTTATTCCACATCCTGACAACTCCTCTAGGAGAAATCGTTTTTCTGAATCTTTCCTTTTATTCTCCTAGTTACAATCTAGAATTCATGCCCTCCTTATTATTTTTTTATTTGGTGAGCAAAGTTAGGCCCTGCTAATCCCCATTGACCGAATTAGACTGAATAACTTCCACTTGGGTTGTGAGGGTTGTCCCCGCAGACAAGCCCAAACACCCCCCCAAACTCTTCTAGGCCCCAAATCGTCAAAGGACAATGCGGACTGGCACCATGTCTTCATGACTACCTGAGAAGGTCAGGTGATAGTATTGTTTCACCGGCAGGGCAAAGCCAGCCTGACCCTATTGACCAACTGCTCAAGTAAACTTGGTGTTGTAGTATATAATAATAATAATAATAATAATAATCTTTGCATTTGATATAGAGCTTGCAAAGCAAGTACTCTAATCACTGAGCTACAGGACTCCTCTTCCTCTTAATGAGGGCAGATCAAACTCCTCAGATCAGAAGTGCTGCAATAATGATGCCAAGCAAAAGAGGGTCGAAAGTATAGCCTTTGCCAGGAGCTCAATCCTTCCAATATCAAGAGCTCTAGAATGCTGTCCTGCATGAGAGGCGCTTTATAAATGCAAGTTGTTGCTGCTGTTGTTGTAATGACCCAGTTACGGGTGAACAGTTTTGTTTATGGGGCACAAGCAAATCTTAACGGAGAACGTTTCTGACAGGTGCTAGCTCAAGGAGTAACTGATAAGAACAGAAAATACACCTGATCTTAGCCAAAAGGCCAAGAAGCGATTTTTGTTATTCTCTCAAACCCTTTCATTGTCTTATGTCTCTGCTCCAATGTGAAGAGTTCTAACCTCTCCAGTCTCTCCTTGTAGCTACAGCGCAGCCTGTTTTGTATTCACCTACAAAATAGTCAAACCTGTGAAACAGTTTGAGACATTCTCTTGACATGAAAAGTGCTATACCAAATGCAATGATTATTTATGTCACAAATCCAGTTATTACACAGTTCAAGTATGGAATCCATTCACTGAATGTGGTGCATTTTTCACCTAAAATGGCAAACTTCCAGGTGAATAAGTCACCACCTGTTAAGTTATATAAACTGTTAAGTTTATTGAAATCAGGTGTGAAATATTAGGCTGAGTGAGATCAAGCCTCAATCACCTGCTAGACTGAACTCTTAGAGTATAAAAGATGATGACCAAGAGGAAGATAGATTGCAAAAGTTGTATGTTGGATTGAGACTATAAATTAAACAACTTGGAAGAGGTTGACAGTGTAGTATACCTTATTCCTTGTGGAATAACCATTGATGCACCCAACCAAAGGGACAACAAGAGTGTCCTGATGACCCAGATGAGTCAGCTTTTTTTTAAGTACAGAAACTGATTGCGAGCCAGCCAGCTACGTAAATCCACAGTGAAGCTGGCTATAGCATCTCGCATTTAATAGATCCTGATCCCTGTCAGGTTGCACTGTCCATCTTTCATCTCTAGTATCATCCTTGTGAACCTAAACTGCCTCTTCTCCGTAGCTCCAAAATCCTTTCTATCTTGTAGACAGATCCTAACACTAATCCCTGACGCTTACCACAAATTACTCCCCACCAAATGGAAAAATGTTTGAAAAGAGCTACCCAAATCAATCTCACCCCCCCACTCCCTCCCCATAGCCCTGCAAACTTATCCTCCCCAAATAATTGTCTACTTCTCTTTCAAAAGCTGACATTGAATTGGCTTCCACCACCCTTTCAGGCAATGCATTCCAGATCCAAACAACTCGCTGTGTAAAAAAATGTCTGCTCCCCTCTCCTCTGTTTCTTTTAATAACTATTTTAAGCTTATAATAAAATTAACTGAAAGAGAGCAAACATACTTGATGAATTCGGCTGTTGAAAGTTGATCTGTCTTTGTGCAGACAAAAGTCACATCCTGACATTTACCTCCAATGCAGGCGGTATTTACAGTTTTACTAAAAATCTGATCTCCAATCTTATCAGAGTCAGCTCGGTGAGCAACAGATATAATCCAAACAGAGCTGCAACGAGTAAGATACTGGAACAAAGCACAGAATCAAAAGCATTACATAGATTTACATGGAGTTACAGAGTGTGATACAGCATAGAAACAGACCGATTGGTGCTAGTGTTTATACTCCACGTGAACCCCCACCCCTCCTATTACCTTTCATAATCTTAATCACCTCAATTAAGTCTCCTCTCAATCATCTCAAGTCCAGAGAAACAATTCATCCTGTCCAATGTATCTTCATAGCTGCATCAAGTATTCCCTCCAATGCTGTGATATATTTCCTATACTATCTGTACAGAACATCGTTTTCAAATTTGCTCTAACAAAAGTTTAATTTAATGCATATCAATTTCAAATCACTTCCCTACTTTTATACTTTATTCCTTTGGATATAAAGCCAAGGACTCTATTTGCATTTCTCTATGGCCTTGTCCACCTGAGCTGCTCCTTTTTGAGTCCTGTGAATTTAAACCACGAGATCCCTTTGTTCCTCTAACCTTCTTAGGTTTCTACCATCCAGGGTATTGTTGACTGCTTTATTCTTCCTACTAAAGTGAATCCTTGAATTAGAACTTGAATTGGGTGAAACTGAGTGTGGGGCTGTATCATTAGACCCTGGAACCAGTTTATTTTTAGTGAAAGGATGAAACATCTCTTGTTACTATTTATGACAATATGATTAGACAGAGTCAACATGGCTTTACAAAAGGGAAGTCATGCTTAACACATCTTTTAGATTTTTTGAGGACATATCTAGTAGATTAGATAGGGGGGATTCAGTGGATGTAGTGTATTTAGATTTCCAAAAGGCATTTGATAAGGTGCCGCATAAAAGGTTGATCTACAAGATTAGGGCCATTGGAATTAAAGGGAATATATTAGCATGGATTGAAGAATGGCTAACGGGAAGAAAACAAAGAGTAGGGATAAACGGGTCCTTCTCAGACTGGCGGGAATTGACTAGTGGAGTGCCACAAGGATCAGTGCTTGGGCCTCAACTATTTACAATCTACATCAACGATCTAGATGAGGACATCGAACTTAATATATCCAAATTTGTGGATGACACTAAACTAGGGAGAGTAAACACCGAGGATGACATTAAAAAAATGCAACGAGATATAGATAGACAGGTGAGTGGGCAAATAGGTGGCAGATGAAGTATAATGTAGTGTGAGGTCATCCACCTATGTGGCAAAAACAGTAGAGCAGATTATTTTTTAGAAGGGGAGAGACTAGATAGTGTTAGCGTTCAGAGGGACTTGGGTGTCCTTGTACACCAGTCACAAATATTAGTTTGCACGAACAGCAAGCAATTAGGAAGGTTAACGGTATGTTGGCATTTGTTACAAAAGGGTTAGAATATAAGAGTAGGGAAGTCTTGCTGCAACTGTATAGGGCCCTGGTGAGACCACACCTAGAGTATTGTGTGCGGTTTTGGTCTCCTTATTTATGAAAGGGTGTACTTGCTTTGGAGGGGGTACAACGTAGATTCACTGGGCTGGTACCTGGGATGAGGGGGATGAGTTATGAGGATAGGTTGAGCAATTTAGGCCTATATTCTTTAGAATATAGAAGAATGAGAGGTGATCTTATATATAATCTTATTATAATAAATTATAATAACAATAATAAATTATTATTATTAAAAATAATCCCTCCAAAACAAAACAATAATAAATCGGTCATTTTTGTGTTTGTGTTTGTGGGACACTGCTGTGTGCAATTGGCTTTCGCGTTTCGCCCACAAATATATGGTCAATTCACTTTACAGTCTATTCTGTGAAGCGCTTTGAGACGTCGAGAAGACGTGAAAAGCGCTATATCAAATGCAAGGATTATTATTATATTATTATTATTATTAAGGGGCACGACAGAATAGACAGTGCGAGACTTTTTCCCCTGGTTGGGGAAACTATAACCAGGGGTTACAGTCTTAAAATTCGGGGAAAGCCCTTTCGCACTGAGTTGAGGAAAAACTTCTTCACTCAGAGGGTAGTGAATTTATGGAATTCTCTATCCCAAAGGGCTGTAGATGCTCAGTCCTTGAACATATTTAAGACTGAGATTGATAGATTTCTTGTGGATAAAGGGATTGAGGGATGTGGGGATAAGGCGGGTCGGTGGAGTTAGAATAGATCAGCCATGATCTTATTGAATGGCGGGGCAGGCTAGAGGGGCTGAATGGCCTACTCCTGCTCCTAATTCTTATGTTCTTATGTTCTTAACAAAGTTTTCTGACAGTCACAATTGGAGAGTTCAATGACTGTTCTAAGCAGATGGGACAGAGAGTTGCTGGCTACAGGTCTCAAGAATGAATAATTTAAATCCTGATTGTTTTTAGCTTTAACTGCAATTACAATGAGCACAAACTTCCAGCCTGGATGAGTGCAAATTTCCTGCAGCTGAACGTTGACAAAATGGAAGCCATACACTTTGGCTCCTGTCAACATCTTCTCTCTTGGATGGTTCAGACCTCCTCACCCTACCCGATCTCTCCCTCAGACTCACCAAACACGTGCACAACTTAAGGGGTCAGGTTCAACTCACAGCTATGCATCGTACCCTACATAATAATAATAATAATAATAATAATAATCTTTGCATTTGTTATAGCACTTTTCACGTCTTCTAGGTGTCTCGAAGTGCTTCACAGAATACCCTGTAAAGTGAATTGACTGTATATTTGTGGGCGAAATCTGGGGTCCCTGGCCAGGACTGCTTTCCTCCAGCTGCACCACATTGTCCACCTCTGTCTGTACCTCACTCCAACAGCTGCCCAAACCCTCATCCGTGCCTTCGTCACCTCTCACCTCGACTACTCAAACACCTCCTCACCGATCTCCCTTGCTCCATTATTCACAAAATTCAACTCATTTGAAACTCCACCATCCATATTTTCACCCGCACTAAACTCCACACCTACATTACCTCAGTCCTGGTCAAACTCGATTGGCTCCCTGTTATTGAGCAGGTCCATTTCAAGATCCTCATTATTGTATTTAAATCCCTTTATGCCCTGGAACCCCCTCCTATCTCTCCAACCTGCTCTCTCCATACACAACTCCTGCTGCCTCTGCTCGCCCGGACCCTCCACCCCACCATCGGCGGCCATGCTTTCAGCTACTATGCCCCAAAGCTGTGAAACTCTCTCCCTCAATCCCTTTGCCTTGCCCTCTCTCTCTCTCCATTTTCTGGTCGCACTTGAAGACCTTCCACCTTGCCTCTCCCCCGGCTCGACACTGTTAAGGGCTCCAAGATGCCATCTAGCTTGAAGTGCGCTATATAAATGCAAGTTGTTGTAGTTGTTGACACGACCAATTCACTTATACCAAGAAATTGATTTTGTTTCGCCCACAAAATATAGTCAATTCACTTTACAGTAAACATTTTTGTGAAGATTTTCCAGACGTCTCAAAGACATGATAATGGGCTGTATGAAATGCAGGAATTATTATTCTTTGATATTGGAGAGAAATACTTTTTACCTCCTTCCACATTTCATCTCTGGCTTTATTGGAGTCTCCTGTCCCTGGAAAGTCAGTCAGTACCAATCCTTCTGGGAGGACATTGGACTTGGGAATGAAGATTGTAACAGATTTCACCAGTGGCCACAAGTGATTTTCCTCCCCCGACTTCTTGCTGCATACATAGCGTTTTAATTTACATGATAGATTCTGTGCCTGAGGAACAACAGAGCAGAATGAGCTGATGTACTCACAAAGTGTCAGCCTGGCTCAATTGGAGGCACTCTCGCCTCTGAATCACAAGGTTGTGCGTTCAATCCCCATATAGGAACTTTGAAATTACAGTCTAGGCTGACACCGGTCCAAATGCTGAGGGAAACAACAGCAATAATTTTACAACAATAAATCTATGCTGTAGAGTCGAATGGGAGCCTGAACCAAAGATCCTATGGCACTATTTAAAAAGAGAAGGCAGTTTCTCCTGACCAACAACCCCCCAATAAAGTTGATCATTCACTTGTTTGTGGGATATTGCTGTGTGCAAATTGGCTGTCGAGTTGACCTACAAATACAATCACTACACTGTTACTTTGTCAAACACCTTTTGCAAGCCTGGATATATTACATCATATGGCTTCCCACACTGTGCTGTCACCTCTTCAAAAAAGTCTATGGGGTTGGTCATACAAGGCCTACTCTTTCTGAACCCATGTTGGCCTGTCATTTATCAGATTATTTTTATATAGGTAATCTTCCACTTCCTTTCTGATGATTGACTCCATCATTTTTCTATTATTGAGATTAGGCTAATGGTTCTATAGTTGCTCTGTCATCTGTCTTGAATGTAGGAACAACATCTGCTTGCTCCCAGTACTGATTGACTCCCCATAATGTCTATCAGTGCTGCACAAATCTCCTGCCTAGTCTCCCCAAATGACCTGTCTACAGTTCATCCGTCCGGGGGAATTTGTTGGTTTTCACTTACATTGTCCTCCGAGAATGAATACTTGTTATTTTTTGGTACAATAGTTTTGTAGATGTTATATTTTAAGAGTTCCTGGTAACTTTGTTCAGGTCCTCTTTCTCCATAAACAGCTTTCACTTTGGCTTCTGCATTTTCAACTATTTCATTACTCTCAGAATCATCATCATCTTTCCCATTCTCGCACAGTTCCATCAGATCTTTCAGTTCTTTATTCCATTCCTGCAATACAATCAATTCACCTTCAATTAAATCCTTACCATACAATCTTAAAACAATCTACTGTGTGACAGCACATGGGAAAACCAAATCGGCAAAAGTAGGTCAGAAGAAGAGTTCATTGAGTGTATGAAAGATAACTTTCTAGAGCAGCTGCCGAGGAACCCACTGGGGACAGGCCATCCTAGACCTTGTTTTGTGTAACGAAACAGGGCGAGTTGGCAGTGAAGGTATTAAGAATCCTCGAGAGCAGAGTAATTACAATATGATTGAATTCTGCATTAAGTTAGAGAGGGATATAGTTAAATCCGAGGCAAGTATTCTGAATTTAAATAGGGCTAATTTTGTATGTATGAGGAAAGATTTAGGTAAAATAGACTGGAGAATAAGATTAAGAAGTAAAAATGTTGACCAACAGTAGCAAATATTTAAGGATGCAGTGCATAATTCTCAGCGGTAGCATATTCCCTTGCGGAATAAGAGTACCACAGGGAAAGCAATTCATCCGTGGCTAACTCGAATTCAAGATCCTCATCCTCACCTACAAGGCCATTCACGGCCTTGTTCCCTCCTATCTCTCCGACCTACTATCCCCCTACTTACCTCCGTTCCTCTGGCTCCGGTCTGCTCCACGCCCCCCCGCCCCAACCGCCCTACCATCGGTGGCCGGGCCTTCAGCCTCTCAGCCCCTAAGCTCTGGAACTCCATCGCCCCCAGTGCCTTCGCCGCTTCCTCCCTTTCCTCCTTCAAGGCCGGTCTCAAGACCTTTCTCTTTGACCGAGCCTTCAGCTCCCCTCTCGACTCTCTACCCCCTACTCGCTCCCTCCCTACCCTCCCCTCACCCTGACCATTTCCCCACTGCTCGGGTCCTGACCCAACTGTCCAGCGCCTTGGGACGTTCTCCCCACGTGAAATGCGCTCTATAGATGAAATCTTGTTATTGGTGTTGTTGTAGAGCAGTGAGGGAAAGCATCAAATTAAAATAAAAGGCTTATAAAACTGCCAAGAAAAGCGGCAAATCTGAAGATTGGGAGAGTTTTAGAAACCAGCAAAATAAAACTAAAAATCTCATTAAGAGCGAGAAAAAGGAGTATGAGGGTAAGCGAGCGAGGAACATTAAGTCAGATTGTAAAAGTTTTTACAAATACATTAGGAGGAATAGGCTGTGAGGGTAAATGTAGGTCCACTTCAGTCAGAGATGGGAGAAGTTGTAATGGGGGGTAAGGACATGGCAGAGTCCCTAAATAGGTACTTTGCATCTGTCTTCACCCGAGAAGACACAACCAGTCTGTCAACAATAGAGATGCGCCAAAGGGATGAGGACAGGGAGCAACTTAGGGAAATTTTCATTACTAGAGAATTGGTGCTCGGGAAACAGTTAGCTCTAAAAAGTGACAAATCCCCTGGTCCGGATGGTCTGCATCCCCGGGTTTTAAAAGAGGAGCTTATGAGATAGTGGAGGCCTTGTGTCTGATCTTCCAAAATTCCTTGGATTCTGGAACAGTCCCCATGGATTGGAAGATCACAAATGTAACACCACTATTTAAAAAAGGTGGAAAGGAAAAGATGGGGAACCATAGGCCACTTAGTCTCACATCAGTGATAGGAAAAATTTTAGAATCGTTGATTAAGGATGTGGTAGTGCGGTATTTAGGGCACAATATAATTAGGCCAAGTCAACATGGCTTTACAAAAGGGATTTTTGAGAATATTTCCAGTAAACGAGATAAGGGTGAATCAGTGGATGTGGTCTATTTGGACTTCCAGAAGGCATTCGATAAGGTGCCGCATGAAAGGTTAGTCAAAAAGTTAAGGGCCCATGGAATTGGGGGGAGCAATATTAACGTGGATTGGGGAATGGTTAATGGGTAGGAAACAAAGAGTAGGAATAAAAGGGTCCTTTTCAGATTGGCGGGATATGACTAGTGGAGTGTCACAAGGATCAGTCCTTGGGCCTCAGCTATTTACCATCTACATCAACGATCTTGATGAGGACATCGACGTTAATATATCTAAATTTGCGGATGACACAAAACTAGGAGGAAGTGTCAACACAGAGGACGACATTAAAAAAATGCAGCGAGACATAGATAGGTTAGGTGATTGGGCAGGAGGGTGGCAGATGAAGTATAACATAGGGAAGTGCAAAGTCATCCACCTGGGTAGCAAAAACAGTAGAGCGGGTTATTTTTTAGAAGGGGAGAGATTGGAATGTGTTAGTGTCCAGAAGGACTTGGGTGTCCTTGTACACCTATCACAGAAGGTTAGTCTGCAGGTGCAGCAGCAATTAGGAAGGCAACCGGTATGTTAGCATTCATTATGAAAGGATTAGAGTATAAGAGTAGGGAAGTCTTACTGCAACTGTATAGGGCCCTGTGAGACCACACCTGGAATACTGTGTCCAGTTTTGGTCTCCTCATTTAAGGAAGGATGTACCTGCCTTGGAGGGGGTGCAGTGTAGATTTACTCGGTTAGTACCAGGGATGAAGGGGATGAGTTACGAGGATAGGCTGACCAATTTGGGCTTATATTCTCTAGAATATAGAAGAAATAGACGGGATCTTATAGAAACCTATAAGATCATCAAAGGGCAGATAGAGTAGATAGTGGGAGATTGTTTCCCCCGGTTGGAGAAACTAAAACCAGGGGTCACAACCTTAAAATCAGAGGCAGCCCTTTCGCACTGAGTTGAGGAAGAACTTCTTCACTCAAAGGGCGGTGAATGTATGGAACTCCCTACCCCAAAGGGCTGTTGACACTCAGTCCTTGAACATATTCAAGACTGAGATAGATTTCTTATTGCAAAAGGGATTAAGGGATATGGGGATAAGGCAGCGTCAGGTTATTAGCTGGAGTTAGATTAGAAGATCAGCCATGATTGAATGGCGGGGCAGGCTCGAATGGCTGAATGGCCTACTCCTGCTCCTACATGTTATGTTATGTTGCTAAATTATAACACTCATTGAATTCCCTACACAAAACTTCAATTAGTGTATTATCAACAAACTCTCTCCCTTGAAGCCATGCTGACTTACTTTTATAGTTAATTGAGATTCACACTATTCTGGAACGATAGGAATAAAACAGGATGGTTGAGGCACCTTCCCAGTGACTTAGACATTCCTCATCTTCAGGAATGCAGCGGCTAAAGATTTGGCCTCCGATAATGGAGACCAGTAACATGAAGCTCAGGATAACCATTACCTCCTCAGTAATGAACTCAATGTCTGCTTTGAACCTGCGGCCACTGTAGGTTTCCACATTTATGATGGATGATGTACACGCAGTGCATGATGACGTAGGCAGTAATCCGTGTTTGTGCAAAACAGCATTTATCAGCGAACTCTTTCCATCTCCTGTTTTTCCAAATACACCAATGTAGATCTTGTCCAGCAGGGTTTTGCTTTTTAATATGGAAGCCTTTTCTCTGAAACAAAAACCACAGATTGCTCTTCCCAACTCTGAACCTCTTGTCCTGCTTCCTTAGACTATTGGGGAGGAGCACTGCATTATTGGAGGTGCTATTCCTGAGACATTGAACCGAGGCGCATCTGTCTGTTCAGGGAGACGTTAAAGATCCCACGGCACCATTCTAAACGAAAAGGTAGTCTCTCTCTCCCTCTATCCTGGCTGACCACCGCCCAGATAAAATTGATCACTCACTTCATGGCTGGTTGTGCAATCTGATGTGGTACAAATTGGCTGGTATGTTCACCCACAAAATACACTTAATAGACTCTACCATAAATAGTTTTACTTTACTACAAACAACTTACATTTTTCACCCAATTAATAGCTACAAAGGGCTAAGTATATTTAATAAACTATTCTGTAATACGTTTTCTGTAGTATATTTATGATTGGTAAACAAAAATTAATGATAAGTTATCATAATCAATTATATAAAATAGGAGGCGGTAAAACGTAGCATCAGAGTTTTATTGGTGGATTCTGTAGATCACATTTTGGGTCTGATTGCAAGTGCCAGAAGGTGCATTTCCTCTCAAGGGATATTACGGAGTGCACTGAAAACCTGCGGTGTGGAAAAACAGCCACAAACAATCATACACATGGTACCAAGAACATAGGCGGGAATAGCAGAAGGATTCTGAAACACGATTTTAAGGATATTTGGGGGAAGATTCAAGAGAAGGATCTCCAGTTCTAATCTCTGGATTCTTCTCAGTGCACATACTGGGAATGTCGGGAGAGGCAGATCAGGGAAACTAATACGTGGCTGATAAAATGGTACACACAGAGAGGTTTATATTCGTACCACATTGGGACAAGTTTTCATCGTAAAAACCCTTGACAGACAGAATGCAAACCAATGCATATCCAGAAAATCTAAATAGCGCAGTGGTGGGGGGAAACATTTATAAAGAATGTACAGCACGGAAACAGGCCATTCAGCCCAACCAGTTCAATCCTACTCCTAATGAAACAATATATTTTGAATATACAAAAATTCAGAATAGTCAGAATCCTTCATTGTATGCTGTCTATCAGGAGGCTATCCGAAAACTCTTCACAGAATTTACTGTAAAGTGCAGTGACTGTGTACTCCTAGGCAGATGTTGTAGACCAATTGTACACAGCAATGTCCAACAAGCAGCCATGAAGCAAATGGATAATTTTATTTGGGAGATTATTGGTCAGGGCACTGAGAGAAACTGCCTTCTCTTTTCAAGTAGCCCCATGGGATCGTCAGGGAGAGTGGTGGGCAGAGAGGGTAGGAGAGTGGCCGAAGGTACGGTTGAAGAGGAGGGTCTTGAGGCATGCCTTCAGGTAAGCAAGGCAGGCAGCGAGGCAAAGGGAATGTGGGATGAAGTTCCAGAGGGTGGGGGCAGAGAGGCTGAAGGTGCAACCGCCAATGGTGGGGTGGGCCAGGTGGGGCACATGGAGCAGGCCGAAGCCTGCTGAGTGGAGGTAGCAGACAGGTTGATAAGGGGTTAGTAGATCGGAGACTTAGGAAGAGGCAAGGCCATGGATGTCCTTGAAGGTGAGGACAAGAATTTTGAACTTGATCCTCTGAGGAATGGAGAGCCAGTGGAGCCAGGCAAGGGTGGGTGTGATGGGGTCATGGAGCCTGGTGCGGAAGAGGACATGAGCTGCAGAGTTCTGGATAATCTACATGTACATGGGATGTATATATGTATATAACTCCATGTCTGCGGATTGATGTCACCAAGAGGGAGAATATACAAGTTGAAGAGGAGAGGACCAACGACAAAGCCCTGAGGAACACTGCGTGATACAGTGCGGGGGCTGGAGGAGAAGCCGTTTGTAGAGACAAAGTGGAGCTGGTGTGAGAGATAGGATCTGAGTAGGGCATGAACCCATAAAACTTTCTCTCTCAGAGGTGAGAGTGCTATTAATTAAGCCAGGCTGAGACACACTTGGGATAAGGATTCAAAAGGAAACTTTACTACAAAAGTTGGGAAAACTAGAAAAATAGATTTTTTGGGGGGGCAGAGGTCAGGCAGGCATCTGACACATGGAGTACTACGAACCCACCCACCTGGCTCAGGAACTGGACTACTGGTTCCGCAATAGAGGGTTGGCCTGATTCTGATATACCGTTGCCAGACATGTCACCTTGGAGCCAGTTCAGCTCCAAGGAGGCCCTGCTTACGTCCACCCCAAGGAAGATAGTCACCAGTTGGTTGTTCAACATCCGACAAGTGTTGGTTAGGGGCCTCACTAGGTGGATGGTAGGTAACAGGAAATCTCTGCGGGCTTTCCAGTGGGCAACATAGCTCAGCATGAAATGCATGAGAGCATTGCCACCATTTTGCTGATGGTTCCACCAGTTGGAGTTGGGGAGTTTAAGCAGCATCTGCGTGCCTCTCTGCAGGCTAATCAAGGTGGGTTTCAAGAGTTGGATGTTCGGATGTGTGCTCACAAACTTGGATTCCAGGTAGCACCTTCCAGCAGCTGTCGCCACAAGCCTCAGAGTTTCCCCATCGACTATCTGGGGGACAACTGCCTTCAGCATGGTGGGAGGACACAAAATTGACAATCACAGGGATGGAATCCATCCCAGTATGTTGAGGACAACCAGGGAAGAGATAGAAGAAGCTCCATCTGTGATTTTGCATTGGGCAGCTACTCAGAAACAAGGAGAGAGGGGAGTTTTGATGACTACGGACTTTCCTTTATTCCTTATACTGTACGTACTTCAAGGTGATGACCAGCTCCTTCTCCTCAGGGTCATTGCACACAACATTTTCGAGTTTCATGTGCACCTTGTTGATAAGATCCCTTGTTTCTTTCTCCAAATCTTTACCTGATAAAGGAATGAAATGAAGTTGAATTAATGGCAATAAACAAAAAGAAAGTTTTCCAACAATTCATTGAAAGTTTTATAGTTATTGAGTCATTACCGAGACATTCCAGCTCTCCTATTTCAATTCACAGTTCTAATATTATAGACATTTATTTTTATTTTGTGTCAAGAAAAGGAATAATGTATTTTGGGCACAATGCTTACAGCTTATGCTGTAGCAGGACAATACCATGGTAGGTGGCTCTACTGGGGATGCTGTCCTTTTGATTAATTCACAGCCCAGCACTGCCAATGTATTCTGTTGCTAATGATAATAATCCTTGCATTTAATACAACACCTTTGTTGAGACGTCTCAAAGCGCTTCACAGAAGTGAATTGACTGTATATTATGTTAGCAAAACACGGCAGCCAATTGCGTACATCGTTGTCCCACACACAGTCACTGATAGAGTGACCAAATATATATTTTTTGAAGGGATTACTATACCAGGAAAAGTAATCCGCCAATTGATTAACAATCGGTTTCCCACTTACTCATAGGTAAACAGAGGTGCGTGGAATAAGGAAACTAGCCCAACCCTCTCACTTGCTTGTGCATTGATCCCACACTCTGCTAGTAGTAAAGCTTATTTCCAACTGTGTCCAACTGTATTTCCAACATTATGGGACGCAGACGTCTGTAGAATTCCTGGTGGAAGAGTTGTGTGCCTGAGCATGGCAGAAGAATAGTGCCAATGCTCTCAAGCAATTGAGACTGAGCTGCGCTGCTAATCAGGAGATCAGAGGGAATTCTTCATTCTTACAAACTACCCAGTGAGAGCTTAAAACTATGCTTGAAAGATATTAACTGACAAAGTAGTTACAGTCCTCCAGTTGGGGGGTAAGGAGGATCTTGTAGAAGCGGAGCTGGTTCCTTGGTTTGGCAAGGGAATGTCGTGAACAAATCAACTGTCGATGGCGGTTTCAGTTATCTAGTTTCCAAGCCAGGTGGGCCTACATAGTCAAGGGCAATTTTGATGACACTACAGCCAGCGTGGCTCATTGGCAGGACTTGGAAAGCTAGAGAGTCATTGGGATCAGGAATTCTTCCCTCTCAGCTCCTGTTAACCATGAAGCCAATGCCCGAATGGGTAGATTGGCCTTTGCTAAACAAGCAGCGAGAAACTTGCCAGACAGTGCTTTCAATGACAAACTAGGCAGTTTCAGTACCCTACATTCTTGGGGCCCCATACTTTGCTCTTGCTAATATGCACTTAAACTCATCAGAATTAGGTCAGCAGGGTGCTTCCCTGCAGGTAGAGTGTATACTCCACTCCAAAGATAAGGATATTTTCATGGTTAGGTGATATACATATGTGACACTCTCAGTCTGGTTTGAATACTTTCAATACTCTTAAGCATTGTAACTGGTATCCATATGTCTCAGATACCCATCTGATTTTGAAACCCTAAGAACTCTCTTGATGAACATATTCCTTTCAATCTCTTCCCTAATTGTTCTGCTAACAATCATGAGACTGTGCCCCTTGTCACTGATTCCCTAACTAAAGGAAATAGTTTTTCCTTATCTACCCTGTCATGCCCTTCACCATCTTAAACACCTCATCATATCAACAATTGATTACAATGAGCCATCAACAAAACTATTGTCTCTATATTTGGTTCCAAAAGTTGCTCTTACATAGCTGCAGCACTTCCTTATTTTCCTCCGACATCTGAGCCCCAGCGCTTTGTCTCTTACGCTTCTTCTGTGGAGATACTTTGCTTGTCGTGGCACATCCTTTCGTCTTGGAAGGTGTATCAGAACTGAATTTTGTTGTTGTTGTTGTTGTTACTGTTGTCCTTTTCCTTGTCACACCTTGGAACAGTTCACAGAATCATAGAATGTTATAGCATAGAAACAAATCAATCGGTTCAGCAAACCTGCACTGAGATATTCCATGTGAGCCACCAGTCTTATCTCTAGTCAGATACCCCTAGTGAATCCTTCCCTTTCTCCAAGGTATATTATGCTCCCCTTTCAAAACCGCCATCATCACTGCACATCTCAAAAAACACTATTTTTTCAAAATTATAATTCCCATTTGCAAAATCACTATGCTACAGGACTTAAAGAGCAAATTGGCTACTGAGGCAATCGATAAGCTGAAACTAAACAGTAAAATCGTGATGGATTTTGTTTCAACAGCTGAAAATTTGACATGCCAACCACTCTATGTGCAACCTCATCTTCAAAACAAAGAATTGTAAAATGTACCAAGGGGATAACGGAAAAAAAGCTAAGGTTGTTAGTTGACTCATCTCTCACCGTGTCAAAAAAATGTGAGGCAGCAATAAACAAGACAAACAGGATTCCGAGCTCTTTTGTCAAACTGGTTAAATTCAGACACTCGGATATCATAACCAACCTATATAGTACTCAAGGAACATTGGAACAGGAGAAGGCCATTTAGCCCCATGAGCCTGTTCTGCCATTCCATTAGATCAGGCTGATGCCCCGAAGCTCTGGCACTATCTCCCTCTCTCCCTCCCCACTTTTCAAATCCTGCCTACAGTAAAATCCTGCTTTTTGATCGTCTAGGTAAATATTAACTGGCTAACTGGTAGCTCAGAATCCAGTTTGCCTTGTTTATTTCTGCTTCTCAAGTTTTGACATGGTGAGTCAACTAACACCCTTAGATCTCTTTCAGTTTCAAATGTGGTTACGGTCCAAAGACTTGTACAAGTTCAACATTACCATCTTGTTTTTCGTGTTCAATGCTTCTCTATATGAAGCGACTAAGTCATAGTGTGAATATAATAGCTTGAGGTGTACCTGTGTGGATTATGTCATCATCTGAGTTGTCCACTTCCATTGTGCCAAACCTATCTGAAAGGAAAAAATTATCTTATTCGTATATAATAATCCAATCAGAGACTAAATCCTTAATAATCCTTGCGTTTTGATATAGCGCTTTTCACGTCGGGAGGACGTCCCAAAGCGCTTCACAGAATATACTGTAAAGTGAATTGACTATATATTTGTGGGCGAACGCGGCAGCCAATTGCGCACAGCAATGTCCCACAAACAGTCATGGATTGAAAATGACCAATTTATTATTGTTTTTGGTTTTGGAGGGATTATTATTAGGCTCTGTGTGGAGTAAGGAAACTTGCCCAAGGTTTCGCCCTCTGCCTGGAATTGAACTCAGGTCTCTCACTTGCAAAGCGAGTGCTCTAACCACTGAGCTACAGGACTCCACAAATCCTGTAGCTAAAGTAAGCTAGAGATGTTGGACATGTCTATGAAGAGGAAAGGGAAAACTAAGTAGCAGCTTGAGTGGAGAAGCCTTAAGCAACGGAGACAGGTAGTGAAGAAAAGGTAACAGAGGCAAAGAAGGATAATATAGTAAAATCCTGTTTTGGTATGCTTGGCAACGAAATATTGGAATCAAGCCAGCCCTCTGTGGCGATCTCGGTAGTGTGTTTCCTGAACCGCCGAGTCCACAGTATTCCAGGACACTGCTGATGCCAGCCTAGTTCATCGGCAGAACATGGAAGAGCAGACTAGTCAATGAGGGCTGGGATTCATCCCACTCAGCTCCTGTTAACTCTACAAGCCAAAGCCCTAATGGGGCGGTTGGTCCTCCCTGGACAAGCAGTGGGAAAGGTTGCCAGACAACAATATCAATGGCAAGATAGGCAGTTTTAGTTGGATAGACTCCAGCAGTTACCCCAGTGCACACTCTGGGGTCCCCAAACCTTTGCCAACCTGCGCTTAATACTTTCCAGAATTAGGTAAGGCAGGATGAGTCCCTCCAGGGAGAGAGTGCACATTCCATTCCAACAATCTATCTCTGGGATCTCCATGTGTAGGTGGGATGTATGGAAATCTCAGCTCGGTTTGGATACTCTAAAGCACAGTGATGGGCCGGGCCAACAGTAAAGTGCAGCCACACTTCTGAAGGTGAAGCTGATTGGCACAGGGAGTGTTGGGTCCACGGAAGTGGTGTGAGCAGGAAATTGGCTTTGCCCGCAAGTGAGAGAACCACGATAGAAATACCAGCTGCACGACACTACTCTCGTCTATCCACGCAATGCTCAGCCTAAAGTGAACTCCTGCGTCAAATTTGTGGTAAGTGCTGTACCATACAAATTAAAATGTTTAGTATTTTAAACATAACTACATGTTCAGGAAATATACGCCTATAGTTTTAATCCGGGTTGTTTCACAAAATGCGTCTCTCAATAACACCAATGAACCCTCCACAATTTTCCAAAAAGTTATCAAATTTCTCCATAGTTTTCCGTAAAATTTGTCAAATGCCCCTCGATATTTGACAAATATTCCTGCAATTTTCTATTGGCCCAGGTTATGGTTTCCACATGTGTCAGGCATCCAGCTCACAAAAAAAAGTCTTTTGTCAGCAATTCCCCAACTAGAGAAAGATTCCTGATCTAACATCTCATGCACCTTTAGGCACCTTGTTTATATCCCCTCTTAGTCTTCAGTATTCTCGTGCAAAACGGTCACATTTTGCCAGCATTTTTAATATGTATCAAGAATCCTAAAAATTAAAGACAAAAAGCACAGCACCCAACGGAGACGAAAACATTCACTTTTACTGATGTTGTGAACTCGATCCAAAGCCTTGTAGCTGATTGCTAAAACGTTAACAAAAATCAAATCTCCTCAGCAAGTATACCCGGGAAAGTAAAATTAATATCAACACCTCAACAACAATAGCAACAACAAAATTACATTTATAGAGCGCCTTTCACATCGGGAGACGTCCCAAAGCGCTGAACAGTCAGGTGTCGGGGTCCAAGCATGGGGGAGGGTTGGTGGAGGGGTGAGGGAAGGCAGAGAGGGTGACCAAAGTCACGGTCGAAGAGAAGGGTCTTGAGACCGACCTTGAAGGAGGCTAGAGAGGAAGCAAGGCGAAGGGACGGTGGGATGGGCAGGTCAGGCGGGAGCCATGGAGCAGACCGGAGCCCGCTGAACGGAGGGAGCGGACAGGTTGGTAGGGAGTAAGCAGGTCAGAGAGGTAGGAGGGGGCAAAGCCATGGATGGCCTTGAACGTGAGGACGAGGATCTTGAGTTCAATCCTCTGGTGGATGGGTAGCCAGTGGAGTCGGTCGAGGGTGGGAGTGATGGGGTCACAAAACCTGGTGCGTGAGAGTACACGAGCTGCAGAGTTTAGGATGATCTGCAGCTTGTGAAGGGAAGAGTTAGGAAGGTCGATGAGGAGGGAGTTTCCGTCATTGCGCGTTGATGTGACGAATGCATGGATAAGGTTTCGGTAGCCTGAGGGGTGAGGCAGTGACGGAGTCTGCCAATGTTGTGTAGGTGGTGGTAGGCAGTGCCGGTCATGGTGCGGATATGGGGGAGAAAGGGCAGTTCAGGGTCAAACAAAACACCCAGGTTCCTGACTGGCTTAGTGAGGTTGAATGTGCGGCCGTGGAGGTTAATGCTGCCAGCGCCCGAGGTGCAGAGGCGCTGGCATGAGCCAATCAGAAGGGTCTCGATCTTGCTGACATTCAGCTGGAGAAAGTTGACCCTCGTCCAGGACTTGATGTCGGACAGGCAGTCGGTCAGGACACCAGTGGTCCTGGAGTTGAGGGTGGAGGTAGAGAGATAGAGAGCAGAGAGAAATTTATCCCATGTCTGCGAATGATGTCACCAAGTGGGAGCATGTAGAGGGTGAAGAGGAGGGGACCCAGGACAGAGCCCTGAGGAACACCGCACGAGACGGTGTGGGGGCTGGAGGAGAAACCATTTGCTGCGACAAAGTGGAGGTGGAGTGAAACTTAGGACCTGAACCAGTCGAGGACAGAACCTCGAAGGTTGAGGTTTGAGGAGAGGCGGTGGAGGAGAATTGAATGGTCCACAGTGTCAAAGGCAGCGGAGAGGTCAAGGAGGACAAGGAGGCAGATGGAGCCTTGGTCACACATGGTCAGGATGTTGTTTGTGACATTGACCAGAGCAGCTTCCATGCTGTGGGCAGCAGGAAACCCGATTGGAGGGGTTCACAGAGGGAGAGGGAGGAGAGAAAAGAGCGAAGCTGGGAGGCAACATGTCTCTCAAGGATCTTGGATAGGAAAGGGAAGTTTGAGATGGGTGGATAGCTGTGATGTGTCAAGGGAAGATTTCTTCAAGGTGGGGGTGACAGTGGCTGTTTTGAGGGGGGAAGGAACAGAGCCAGATTACACGGAGATGGTTGATGATGTTATTATTATTAGGATTATTATTATTATTGTTGTCGAGTAGTGGGGAAAGGAGATGGAGCTGGGATTTAAGTAGAAGGGTGGGGATGGGGTCCAGGGAGCAGGTGGTGGGCTTCATGGAGGATATGGTTGTGAAGGTAGAGGAGGGGGTGACAGGTTCAGAAGGGTGGAAGGAGGGATGGGTAATTGTTGGAGTGTGGAGTGAGGATAGGGAGGGGGTGGAAGTTAGGGGGGCAGTGGCAGCTGAGCTCGAGGAAGTGCAGCATTTTCTCGCAGTGAGAGCCAGAGGAAAGAATCTGCGAGGCGTGGCGTGGAGGACGGAGGAGAACAGGCGCTTGGGGTTGCCCTTCACCTCCAGAATTAACCTGGAATAGAAGGACGATTTGGCTGAGTTGAGAGCAAAGCAGTAGGTTTTGATGAGGTCCAGCCAGAGGATTTTGGGGGGCGCTAAACTAGAAGGATTTTTACAGAGGTGGGAGGGATGGCAGAAGGTAAGGTGTTCGAAAGAAGGGAATGAGCCGGTGGACTAGGGAGATAGGGCAAGTGACACCCTGGATATGAAGGCCACACCACCACCATCACGGTGGTTGGGGCGTGGGGCATGGTGGTAGGTTTAGCCAGGTGGTGTGGTCTCAGTGAGGGGGAAGGTGTTGCCTGGGATGATCCAGGTTTCAGTTCGGGCCATGTCAATCTTCTCATCGAGGGTGAGTTCATTGACGGCCACGGTCTTGTTGGAGATGGAGCGGATGTTTTGAAGGCCAATGCGGAGTGGACAGTTGGCAGAGGGATATGTGGGATGGGAGAGGGTAGTGGATTGGTTGGCAGGGAGGGTGGGGATGCAGATGGGGGAAGAGAGGTTAGCCACCGGGGTCTGAGCCCGGGGTGGCTTGCCGTGGTAATGGGGAATGGGGCAGTCGATGTATAGCCCGGATGAGCTCGGCAGAGGATTCCCAGGCTGGAACAGAGGGAGGCAGTGCGGGGGGTTAAGCAGAGATAGGAGGCAGGGAGGGCGGAGGGAGAGCAGGACAGAGTGGGAGAGTTGCAGGGAGGGGGACATTTTGAGGGAGGGCAGCTCGGGTCGGGGGCGGTAGCCAAGATGCGCACTCTGAGACGAGAGGCGGTGGATTAGTGGGACATTATCAGCCTGGAGGAGGCTGTGGGAGCTGGAGGTGACGCAGAGGGGGGTGGGCGCTCACTGTGGTCAGACAGACAGACAGACAGACAGCCAGCCAGCCAGCCAGCCAGCCAGCCAGCCAGCCAGCCAGCCAGCCAGCCAGCCAGCCAGCCAGCCAGCCAGCCAGCCAGCCAGCCAGCCAGCCAGCCAGCCAGCCAGCCAGCCAGCCAGCCAGCCAGCCAGCCAGCCAGCCAGCCAGCCAGCCAGCCAGCCAGCCAGCCAGCCAGCCAGCCAGCCAGCCAGCCAGCCAGCCAGCCAGCCAGCCAGCCAGCCAGCCAGCCAGCCAGCCAGCCAGCCAGCCAGCCAGCCAGCCAGACAGACAGACAGACAGACAGACAGACAGACAGACAGACAGACAGACAGACAGACAGACAGACAGACAGACAGACAGACAGACAGACAGACAGACAGACAGACAGACAGACAGACAGACAGACAGACAGAGGATGGGATGGACTGTACTGTACTGTCGCTGCCACCAGGGATTC